AAAAACAAATTAGACACCAAAACAGAATTAAAAAAACACAAAACAATCCAATATGGCCGAAAAAACCAAGATGGCAGACTTTTTCTATAGGCCAATATAAAAGTAAAACTGAAAACTTTAAGGCATTTACGCAGCGAACACCACACTCTTTCCTGCCCTATCTGCTAGATATAGAGCTTTCATGTATTTTATCTGGCACTCTATGCAAGCATATAGGGTGGCTACTCAGATGCCTACTTTTGGTGTACGTTTTTCTGTTATCGGTCGTCGTCGTCGTCTTCGTTTTTCTGTTATCGGTTCTCGTCGCATTTCTCTGCTGTCTTCTTCTCTAATTGGTCGTGACTTTTGTTTTTTCAGTTTTTAGTCCTCGTCTTGTTGTCAGTTCTTCTGTAATCGGTCCTGGTCTCAGTTCTTTTGTTGTTAGATGTTCTGTTATCGGTTCTCGTCTCAGTTGTTTTGTTATCGGTTCTTGTCTTCATTCTTCTGTCATCAGTCCTCGTCTATGTTATTCTGTTATCGGTCCTCCTCTATTTTTCTGTTATCAATCCTCGTCTCTACTGTCTTGTTGTCAGTTTTTCTGTTATCGGTCCCCGTTTCTCCTTTCTTCTGTCATCGGTTCTTGTCTCTTTTCTTATGTAATCAGTCCTGGTCTTCGTTTTCTAGTTGTTAATTCTGTCATCGGTTCCCGCCTCTGTTATCGATCCCCGTCTTCATTCGTCTGTATTCAGTTATCGTCTATGTTATTCTGTGATCGGTCTTCGTCTATTTTTCTGTTATCAATGCTCGTCTTCGTTGTCTTCAGTTCTTCTTTTATCGGTCTTTGGTTCTTGTCTTCGTTTTCCTCCGTTCCTCTGTCATCGGTGATCGTCTCTTCTATAATCAGTCCTGGTCTCCGTTTTCTTGTAGTCAACTCTGGGTTCCCGTCTCTGTGTTATCGATCCGCGTCTTCATCCTTCTGTATTCAGTTATCGTGTATGTTATTCTGTGATCGGTCTACGTCTCTCTTTGTTGTCAGTTCTTCTGTCATCGGTTCTTGTCTTTGTTTTTCTCCGTTCTTCTGTCATCGGTTCTCGTCTCTTCTCTTCTGCAATCAGTCGTGGTCTCCGTTTTCTTGTTGTCAGTTCTTCTGTTACCGGTCCCTGCCTCTGTTCGTTTATTTCATTTCTTTTGTTATCGGTGCCTGTCTCTGTTCTTCTGTTAGCGGTCTTCGTCTCTGTTCGCTTGTTGTCAATTCTTCTGTTATCGGTCCCTGTCTCTGTTTTTTTGTTATCGGTTGACGTCTCTGTTCGCTTGTTGTCAGTTCTTCTGTTATCGGTCCCTGTCTCTGTTTTTGTGTTGTTGGTTGACGTCTCTGTTCGCTTGTTGTCAGTTCTTCTGTTATCGGTCCCTGCCTCTGTTCGTTTATTTCATTTCTTTTGTTATCGGTGCCTGTCTCTGTTCTTCCGTTAGCGGTCTTCATCTCTGTTCGCTTGTTGTCAATTCTTGTCTCCGTTCTTCCTTCTGTTATCGGTCTTGTACTTTCGGTACTTGTTTCCTGTTTCCGTTAAGGTCTACTCTTGTTTCTATCGTTGCCGTTCATCCTGTGTCTATGTCCTGGTTTTGTCAGTCTTGGAGTCATTTATTCGTTCAGTGGAGTAGCGGGGGATCGAACTCACGACCCCTTGATTTGTAGGCAGACAGTGTTACCAACTGCACCATAGCGCCCGCTCTGAATAATAACCATTTTTGAAAATCCTTTATACATTAAATACTATTTCAATGGCTAACAAAGGGTGTATTACAATTATATTTTAACACCTCTATTATGTAGCAAACCCACGTGACTTTTATATGGCGTCAAAGAAAATATTACTCCATTTTTAACAAGTAGTATTTTTATAGATAACTTTGCTGTTACTTTAAGATATCCTGGAAATTTCATTGGAGGGTACCCGGAATTCTAATGTATAATCTTCTTGTAGAATTTTCTCAAAAACCGTGACTGAATTCCAAAATTTTCGAGAGCTGCCATGGCATAGCAAAGCACACGTAGCAATATCCAAGTTTAGACATTTATGACTCGATGAAAATATGGTGTTGTTGGTATTGTTGTTGTTGTTTTTTTAACTTTAACTTTAAATTTCAAATTAAATAGTCACTTATTTGTAAACAAGATGGTAAACATTTGTTGTTTTCTGTATTTTTGTTAAGAATGTGATAAAGTTTAAGATGACTTTTTAATATTAACAGATTATCCATCGTATACCTGAATGCAGTTATAATTGAATCTAAAAAATGAATTATGCAGATATTATTTTTGGCTGAAAACAACAAAATACAAACAAAACAACACACAAAAAAACCTACATGTAGCATACATGTGTAATGTTCACAATGTGCTGAAAAACGGCTCTTTATTAATTTCAACATTTTCAGCAAGTGACACATTTTAAAAAGAATGGGACAGAAATGTTATTTAAAAAGTAGGTTGGATATTTTTTAACCTAGTTTGCTCAACACTCAATTTATATCAACATTTTTATATATAAACCTGAGGACAGAAAATTGACAGAAAACAACTTTCATAGATTGAGATAGAGCCAAGATGTCGCAGATATTTGGGTTACAAAAAGGGAGTTTTTGATCCTGATAATGTTTTAAGTAGGATAAACATATTACAAGCTTAAATTCTTAAAAATTTGTACTGCCTTAATTTTTTTTAAATATTTGCAATTATGTAATTATTATGTCTTTAGTTAGTTTTCTGGAGAAAAGGCTTAACAAAGGTGGTATCTTTTATTTTATAGATAAATTTTATAATATGTCACATGTCGCCTTGAAAAAAGATTTTGTAATGGTTTTGCGCATACTTAATCCCGCTTTTGCATGTTGGAACAACAATAGTTCATTTGTTTGTATACACAGCCTCATTGCTTATTTTGTATAGTCTTATTTTATTGACCTGTCAATTATAAATACATTACAGCACTAATTGAAATATTAGATTTCACTTTGATTTCGTTGGTAAAGTTTACGAGAATTAATATGGAGTATATAGAGGATATTTGTTTGTTTGTGTGTAAGATGAAATTTTATTTCATCGAGTGGGCTTTAAAAACAGTATTCCCACGAGTGGCGTGGCCACGAGTGAGAATACTGTTTTTAAAGTTCACGAAAAAGTTTATTTTTTAAAACACTTTTTGTGTCGGTTTGTGTTGTGTTTATGGCATTGAAAAATGACATTTTTTGACATTTCAAAATAATTTTTAAATATTCATTTTAAACCATAAATACCATAATAAGTGCAAAATATATGAAAACAAAATGAACAACTTAAAAAAATCATAGCTACAAATAATGTTGAAAATTACGGAACCCCTGAAGTGACATTTTCCACATTTTCTTCCTGAATTGAATTCGTTTTACGAGATAATAATTCACAATTAGAAATATTATTTCGTTTTAACGAAAAATAAAATCTTAATTACGAAATATTGATTCGTTGAATAATCATTTGATTTTGACAAGAATAATTAATTGCATCATATTGTATCATAGTTTAAATGACCTATTATAGTATTTTTAAGCAGCCATTTTGAATTGACCTTTTGATGGTCAAGGTCAAGTTTATTTTCTTGGTATCCACCCTCATCGTCTTCAGCATACCCATATTAGGTTAAAACACTCAATATATTACTTGTACTATAAAATGCCTCCAGCATTCATATTTTCTTAAAATCAGTCTTGTCTACAACTTAAGCACCATCGGTGCTTCACTTCAAATCAGTCGTGCGATTTCTGGGGCGACAGTTGTGCGTTTAATCATGAAGTTACGGCTATCTTTCCTGATGATTCAAAACATTTTTATCAAATATTTTCAAACATGAAAACTTGCTACTATTACTACGTGTATATTTATATTCTAAACATATAAGAATTTATTTTGAGAGAGTAAAGTGCAAAATGCTACGACCAAACAGTGTACATCTTAACGAAAATGTTGCATTTTATATAGGCCTATCAAAGTCATTTTACCTCTTTATTTTGGTTACTTTATATGGACATTTAAGTTTCGGTGTCAAAGAGTAAATACAAAATTTATCTATCATTTTTGTCCAGTGCTGCAGGTGTGCATATGGTGCTTCAGATGTACGTCTTATTTTATCTACGTTTGAAAAGTGATTGCAATGGGTTACGTAACGTTTCAACACAAATTCGAAATGTACCGGGTATTAGCTTGCCGGAATGCAGTTGACAATAAAGCAGCTTAAATGTATCCGTAATTTAACATACTTTATCAAAAAAGCAAAGAACTTTATTCAAATGTAGCCTTTTATAAGTAGATGTTTTAGTAAATAAAATGACATCTTTCAAAAAAGAAAAAGAAATCATCCATCTAACTACCTTTTTGGGCAAACTATTTCAATGGAATGTACCCGTTCATTTCATTTACACATGCATTTATCAAATGATTGAAAATATGATTCACTGAACAACAGGGGTGCACTAGTGATTTTGCTGATTTCTTATGTTGTATTTCCTTATGTACAATTATGGTGTTATAGTGTTATTTATTAACAAGAAGATGTCAAGTATATTTTAGCGAACTAAAGCAGAGAAATACAACCCACTAGGGAACAAAGGATTATTAACACACAATCTGGCTAAAGTTTAGATCTGCTTGCGTAGCGTAATTTAGCCAGATTGGAGACCCGACTAGACACGGTTTCATCACGGTCCATCCCGACCATCGCCGATTTCGCAACGGTTTAAGCTAGGGGTGACGCCGGTGTTGTCCCGCCGATGCTTGATGCTTCCCGGTTCAAGTTTAGAGAATAAAACTGTTTGACCACGTTGACATCAGTCATTTTGGTAAAATGACAGCAGAGATGACACCCAAAGAAAAGGGAAGAAAGTTGGGAAAACTGTGCCCTTAACGCCTGCAGAGGTTGAGGGTACCATTGGAAACGAGTCCGGGAAGAACAGTAAGGGAAACCTCGCCTCAGAAGAAATAGCCGAAAATGCGGTATAAATACGGTGGTTCCCCGGCGATTCTCGGTGCCAAGCCGATGGAACACGGTTCTGGGCTTCCTTCCCGGTGAGTGCCGGTGAGCCCCGGTTGTATTAAACATTTTAATACAACCATGGCGATCTCCCGGTTTATCCCGGCTCACCAAGGTTTGTCCGGTACTTCATGGAATCGCTACGGCCCTACGCCGGTTTACAAAGGTTGATCCCGGTGGACTAAACCGTGGCAAACCGGGACTCAAAACCAGGACTATGTGTAACTGGGGCTTAAGCTGCGGTCTTACTCAGTCAGGACCATTCCGGTTAATTACTGGGATGTTCCGGGACGATCCGGGATGAAATTATTGTTGCGGTCACATTTATCCCGACAGCTCTACGGTAATTCCAAAACTAACACCAGGATGCGCCCCAGATCATCCGTGAAGCTACGGTTCATGATGGGGCTTTCCCGGTTGTTCCCGGATGACGCCGACAGAGCCCCGGTTGATCAAGGAAGAGCCCCGGTCGATCCAGACAGAGCCCGGGAGAGCCCAGCACGATCCCGGCAGAGCCCCGGTAGAACCCCGGTGGATTGAAAACGCGCGAAAATGATAACGTTGATACATTATAATATATTTCTCCTATTTAATGAGTAATTCATGATGATCTTCTGAATAATCCTTATGCAAGACTGGACATAAAGAAAAAAGGGAAGTGTTTTAATACAAACAAGTGCAAACATCGCCGTGATTCTTTTGAAATGAGTCGGGCTTTGCCGAGGCTCTACCGGGATCAACCGTAGCTCCATCGTCATCCTCCGGGGCTCTGCCGATATTTACCGGGGCTCTACACGACATTCACCGGGGCTCTGCCGGCATTCACCGGGGCTCTACCGTAGCAATACCGACTACTTCATACCCTGGATCCTTCCCGGTTTGTGCCGGCAGAGCTACGGTGTTTCCCAGGTGTAACCCCTGTCGTTCCCGACAGAGCTAGGGATGAAGGCGGCAAAGCTAAACCTTCCCGGATCATCCCGGACCACCCCGGTGATATTAAATATTTAATTCCATCCGGAGTAGAATGCCTGATGTTCCCGGATCATCCCGGACGTCTAACGGGACTCTGCCGGGGCTCTGCCGGGATGTGAGACCGTAACTTTAATAGACGTCCAAAAAGATACCGGAAAGGATATATCCGTCTGGTCACTTTTGTTACATATACATTTATAGGAGAAACATTTGATTTTTTTTTGTGTAAAACTGAAATATGTATAATTTTGTATGTAGCATTGTTGACCTTCGCAAAATTGATATAAAACATGCCCCTGAGGTCAAAGTTATCCTGTCCTCTAACCATGTTTTAGAGCCGTAAGATTTGTTCAAAAATCTTCTTTAAAACTAAAAGTTTCAGAATGGCTATATAACATGGAAACCACCTGACGTCATGTGATTAATGAAACATTTTCACCTTCTTGTAACGTGTTTATGATGTTAATTGAATGATAGCAACCTAATATGTACAATTCTACATATATCTTATTTATTGCACCAGTTTAATTGATATACATGCAATGAAGGCATGTACAAACGCAAACAATAAATCTCATAATTACGTGAATTATGAGTTTTATTTTCTCATATTTCTGTAAACATTTTTATAACCCAGACGAACACTTGTCAAATTTATCAATACACCACTTCTCGTTGACGGCTTCAAATCATCCATTGTCAAAAACGCGCGAAAACGTATGTTGCCGTTTTGTGGACATATCTATGTCCAGTCGTAGAGACAATTTGGCTAGCTGTAACGGTATATTATCGAATAATTACGTATTTTACGTAACAAATTAATATGTCTTAACGCACTTGTTTGTGAAGTAATTCACGTTACGTTTTTTGGAAGTTTTTTTAAGTGCGTTACTTTATAACGTTAATTTGATCACGTTACGCGAATACAGTTATAGAAATAATTTGGACGTGCATTGAGGAAGAAATATAATTGGTGAGTTAAAATTATTTTAGAATTTTTACTTTTCTTTCTCATAAATAAAACATTATATTCTCAGGTGTAATATATCTTATACACCTTTTTTCCTGTATTTCAACAAAGAACATGTTTCTGTAGACCAAAAATTTAAAAAAATGCATTAATGCAACCTTATGTATTTATATCTAAGAAACGATTTAAATTTATCATTATTTACACACACACAGAACTAGCAGTCTGACACCATTAACCATTAAATGAAATTAAAAATTATTTCACCCATTCTTTATTTTGACAAACAATTGATTGCAGGAAATATTTAATAACATAAGTCTGGGCGACCGCTAGAAAACTGTAAAAAAATTAAATGCATGCAGTCCCTAGAAGTTTGCTACTGTATTATAGATTTATATTCAAGTAACGTGTAATTTATATATTTTTGTTCTGTTTAAAAAATGTCGATTAAAGATTAATTTTGCAACGTAATAGTTGGTTATAATTAAACCACCTCACGCATGCGAAGGTTTCGTATTTCATATTAAGGAATTAATATAAAGAACGTACAAAAAGAATATAATATTGAATAGTTCCATGTGTTAGATTTTGGTATAAAGGAGCCTCTGCGTCTATTCACGTATTTCAGAATCCGTTGTGACTATAAACCATCTGAACCATATTCAGATATGATACCGAGATGTGATTCATCATCAATAACAAAACAAACCTGGCGATTGATAAACCATCAAATAAACACGTATCATAAGTTTTAAAATCCCTTTATCTTTTTGGGCCAAAATTTTTAAATCAAAAATTTTTTCCTTTTTCCCTTTTTTAAAAAAAATTTTTGTGAATTATGGGTTCTTTAATAGTTTCACAAAAAGTTTGATTTTTATCGCAGGGGGAAAAAAAAATTTTTACAAATTAAAAAATTTTTTATCCTCAGTCTTTTTTTTTTAGTCGTTTTTTTTAAAATTTAAAAATTTTGATTTTTTGTTTTCCCCAAGTCCGGGAAAAAGATGGTTTCGGGAAACTATTTTTGCTGTCTTAGAAACCTTTTTACGCGCATTTTCCCCTTCTGTGACAAAAACAGGACAATTTCGGAATTTGATACAACGACGAATTAAAGTTGATCCTTTTTACTTGAACGCCCCGCCCGTTGGGGAACCCAAACCCTGTGAGGTTGAACTAAAATTGGGGGAGACACTCACAGACTCGAAATATGATCACTTTAAGAAGCTAACTGGGAAACAACACTCACATTTATCAGGTAAATTTGGCGGCAAAGTTATCGTCTGCTTCACTTTTTATTGCAGATATTCGAATCATAGTTTTCAAATATCGGGCGGGGGGCGGGGGGACATACACAACATGTTTGTTATCTTTTCATGTCTTTTTTTTGTTTTAACAATATCCTTAAGTTTAAAAAAACGACCAGAATCTTACAATTAGAATTACAATTCGCTTTTAGACGAAAATGTAAACGGAAATGGTTGCTAGTATAAATATTTTTCTTCAGTCATCTAAAAATATTTATTCAGATATAAACTAACATTACAATAACATCAAAGGTTTTTTCACTAAATTTAAATGTGATGTCTTTTAACGTAATTAAAACATATTTATATTTAATAAAAATATTGTCGCAAATTATGAAGAACATGGAATCGTGTAAGGAACACGAAAGGTCTTATTATACAAAAAAATCCCTTTGGGGAATTTTTTTTGAAGTTGTTTAAACCCATCCCTTTTAAACAGAACATATACCCTTTTCTATTTTAAAAAACCCAAAAATAAGCTTTCTTTATTCAAGTTTTTTAAGTTTTTTGATTATTCAAAATACCCCAATTTGGGTGAAATTTAATTTCCAAAATAAAAATTTATTTTTAAATTCATTTTTTAACTTTAAATTTCATTACATTTTTTAAAGGGTTTAAATAAAACCCCAAAATCCCTAAAAAATTAAAAGAAATCCCGACAGTAACTAAATTCAGAAAAAAGATTTTTTAAAAATATAAATTTTTGCAAATTTTTTTAAAAACTCTTTTTTAAATTTTGCACAAGCTCATGGTTTAAGCGGTATTTTTTATGTTGACATTCTTATATTTCTTTTTTTTTTCTTTTTTTTTGTATAGCGGTCTGCAATAAACGTTTATCGGACGGTGGGTGGGGATACTACCCGTTTCCGGGGTCATGTAATCAGTACATACATTGTGACAAGGACGGAAATGGATTTCTGGAGACATGCGCAGTTGGCACATTCTTCAACGGACAGAAATGTGTAAAAGCGGAAGATGTTATATGTCCATTTGGTATGTTATCAAAAATCATCATCATTATAATCACCATAATATCATATGATTATAAAAGTCATTATTATCGTCTGTCGCAAATAGTTATATTCTTAATTCTTTTGATTTGACACTTAGATGAAAGTTTGCAGTTAGTCGACATATAGAAAAATGACTGGCACTCAAAGTTTAAATTTAAAATGTAAAAAATAATTTGACAAAGGTCTTCTCATCAACATGATAATTTCAGTTATGTGTGTTTTGTTTATTTCAAGTTAAGTGTTTTTTCACTTTACTACAACTAGATATACTTTAATTCATGTGGTGTTTATGTATTTTTGGTGTTTTGTATTGTTTTTGAAATGATTACTGAAACAAATTTGTCAGTATATTTCATTGAAAGCGAGTAATGCATACGTAAAATCATCGCAAAAATACTAAGAAGCCTTTTCTTGCAGAACCTTTAATACTCTTTACAGTACGGGTATTCATGTATATCAAATTACAATGACATTTTATATTCCAAATACTTCAAGAAAGGTATATATGAATATGAAAACAACTTGATTTTACTGTTGTTGTTTTTTTTTAATTTATTTTATAAACCTTTTCATCAGAAATAGCAATACACTCTTTAAAAACAGAAACATAAAACCAACAATATATGATATTATTTCTGCCATCTTTAATATCTGTCGATACAAAAGGTATTTTTTTTTATTCTTAAATCCTGACCTTTGGACATTTTGATACTAGATTACTAGTATGTTGCATTAATACTTTTTTTGGCCTGGTGACTCTGAAAGACTCAAATTCAAGTCTTAAATACTGTACTTTAAATTTATCTTGATTTAATTAAATATTTTCAGATCCATGTAAAAATGGGGGACAGGGCCCCCAAAATTTCGATGGACAGACTTGTTTGGGGTTTTATTTAAAAAATGTTTAAAAGGGTCAGTCATTTCCGGAATCTGCCCCAGTGGCTTTGTTTTTAAATTCCCTTTAAAAACGGGGGATGTCTCCCGGGACAATACTTTATAACCCTCGGGGAAAAATGCACCGTGGTAAAACAAAGGTTTTTTTTTATGGGTTAAAAGGGTTTTACCCAAATTTTTTGATTAAATGAGACCCCTTTTTGTTTTGAAATTCCCTTTCCTACCCATTTCCTACCATTTATCCCAAAGGCAAAAGGCGGAAAAGAAATTGGAACATTCTTTTTAAAATACCCGGGGCATTAGGGAAAGGGTTTCCCTTAAAATTTTAACCCGCCCCCCTTTGGGGTCGAATAAAATCCCGCCCCGAAGCCGGCAATTAACCTGGGGCCAACGGTACGGTAAAAACAATTCTCTGCAAGAATAAAACTTTTTTGGGGGCCCCCCTTTTTTAAAAATTTTTTGGAAAAAACCATTTTGGGGTTTTTCTTAAAATTCTAATAAAATAAAAACTACATGTAGGTAAATATAAAAAATACAAAATAACAAATGGGAAATAAAACCGTTCAGGAAATGTACCAATATTTAAATTAAATGTAATGTATTTAAAACGGGCTTTAGGGTCAAAATTATCAAAAAATTAATGTACATTTTCCCAAAAATTTGGGTTTAAAAACCCAATACAAAAATTTAAAAGGAAAAATTTTTCAAAAAAAAATTAAGATTGACAAAAATAGCAAAAAATTTAGACCCTCGTCAATAAAGAAAAAAAATGGAGGGTGGCGGGGAAAATTACTGTAATCGCCATAAAGCTAAGAGGAAGAGAAAGTTTAGCTGTTCAAAGAAGAATTCAAACATTTTTTGAAATAACTAGTTTATTAACAGTGCCACAACTGTCTGTGTCTGGTGAATATTTCAGGGAATTTACACGTAGGTTTTAGCAGGTTTTTATTTGCAGGACCAGGTTTTCTCAAATAAAGCCATGTTTTAGTTTTGAAAGCGGATCCTAGATAATTAAAACTTAAAAGTTTCGATACAATTTAGTTACATTTAGTAATTTATATTTATTTTGTACTAATTAAGTAGTTAACCATTAAAGCTGCACGCCACCAGTTGAGCCAATTTTTTTTCAAGAAATTCAATCTTTATAAAACTGTATTAAGATCTTAAGAAAAGTAAAAATATTCAATATTTAATTAATTGATTAAATGTTATGTGCGATTAATGACTGATTTGCAGTATCAATCACTATTATTCTATTGCATTACTCACGCAGTAAGAGGTATTTATGTATGTTCTGACCTCTTTTTGGTAATTTACGTGGATTGTAAGTGCGCTTGCGATGTGTAGATTACTTATGTATTCACTTTATACCATTTCAAAATTTTCATGAAAATAAGCATGAATCTGGAGGCATGCTGCTTTAATTAATTACATATCAAGTGTCCATCTATAACACATTAAAGTAACTTCTGTCACTACTTTGCTGAAATATAGAGGGATATGGAAAATAAATGTACAAATGTATATGCGTTTCCTAGCCATTCTTAAAATATATTCTATTTTCATATTAATTACTGCGTTGACAAGTATGTATTATAGATAATTAGTGTTAATTAGTATGGCGTTATTTTGACATATCACAGATCGCACACGTCCCTGTGAGACAGATCTAACACATAGGTATATTAACTGTCATATCATATACATAGACATCATAAATTAATATGTAGGAATATAATAGTCCGACGAGAGGACAATTTTCCCTTATTGTCCAGTAAACATCACCATCAAAAACACAACTATTGCCCAATTTAATAACAAAGTCTGTCATAATTTACCCCCCCCCCCACCTCCCCTCAAAAAAGAAAAAAGAAGCTGGAAAAATGTTATAATTTACATCTTCTTCAGATTTGCATGACTGTAAATTAAAAAAATACTGTTTACTCTTCTAAAACCGTTTATTTAAGAAAAAATAATACAATACAAGAATACAAACCATGATAACTTTAGCATTTTCATTAATATGTAGATAATTAAAAATAAATTTATTTTGTTATATTTTTTAGTTAGAATTAATAAGACATTTGAAAAAAGTTAAGAGGTTCATTCATATACACAATTACACAAGAAAAGGGGCAAAAGGTTGAAAAGTAAATAAAAAAGTAAAAAGTAAATAAACTGCTTTAGTGGCATTTTTTCTGCATGTACTATTTAGAAATCAACCAATTCAATTAGATTTACCCAGCAATTATCTAAAAAGATCTTGATAAATGTAATACACTTAGAACAGAGTATGTTAACTAACTGTTGTCCCATAGGAAGAAATAATAACTTTTAACAGTTTTTTCCTTTGTTTTTGTGTGTATATGTGTGTTGTTATTCTATTTCTTATGAATACTGGCAGTATCTCAAATGGAATTTGTTTAAACTATCTCATTGAATGAATGTATAATTATGTACATTATTTATGAATAAAAGAAAAAAGTAATAGCTCTATAGTTTAATTTTTTTTCTCAGCAATCATAAATTTAAACAATACGAATTTTAAAGAAGCCACAATCCAATATTGAGATAAACATATATTTACTTTTTTATTATCTAGTACTAACCTCCCTGTTTTCAAGATTCTGGGCGTGTGATTAAATGCTAGAAAAAAGAATATCTTACTTATTGAAAATGACCACGGAAACAAGGCGCTCTATGGAGAAAATGCTAAAAGCTAACCAAGTATTTTTGCGTAATTTAAAACAATTTTATTTTATAATCTGTAGCATGTTTTGCTGGAACCACGATGCCGTTTCCGGGGCAACCTCATCTGTTTTATTTGTGGGATGGTCTTGACAGTGTCACTGCTATGGAGTGTCCACGTGGTCTCTGGTACAATCCGCACGTGTGCACGTGCGACTGGGTCATTCCAGGGGAAACCTTTGATGGTGGCAAAGGAAATGGTGAATATAATTTTAAAACATAATACACATGTAAATCATTTTTAAGTTTTTAATTAAAATGTGAAAAAAATGTTAACTCAGTCTAAGCTTTGGTTAATAGTATTATTAAATATTAAATATTGTGACTTCACCGGTAGTATATATACATGTTTATTTATTCCGATATTTATCTATATCAGAGAAATCTGAATTATATACCATTATAAGCGTCTAATAATATCCTATTAAATCATATTTGATATAACTTGTGTCATGTTGTTATATAATCAGATTGTTTGTTAACACAGAAACAACAGTGTATATTTTTCAGTTTCACGGAACATTTAAATGTTTGCCTATACACGTCACTTCCTGTAAAAGTATCCTTTCTTTTTCGTTTTGAAAATATAGTTTGATGTATATATATTTGAAATGCTTCCTGTATGCCTTTTTTCAGTTTGTTTTCCGATGTTTCATTTTGGATACAGTGGTAACTTTTTAGAAGAATACAACAAAGCACCGCAGGCTCCAAATACCGCTGTATCAATATACAAGAAATCAGCACTCTTCAGTAAAGGAGGTGATTAAAATATTCAGTTTCCTCACATTTATATTTCTAGTTTCTGCACATGTATTCACTTTGGTGTTTTACAGTTTACACCTATCCTTCCAGTTTCATTCATCTATCCTTTCAGGTTTTCATACATTACAAGTTTCTATACACTAGTTTCTATACATTCACAATCCTAGCTTTTAAAATTTGTTACAATACATTTGTTCCACACTTATCCATAAATTACAAATTAAATGTATTAGCTTCCAAACATATAAATTTCTAAATTCTAGTGACGTAATCAACGGAGAGTATTTTCATTCATATTTTCTGTTTTCATTCATGTATATTTCGACTGATCATTTGCACAACAAGCATTTGAATGCGCTACCGAAATTATTGAAATTTTCGACTTCGTTGTTATTTCTTTTTCTTTCTTTCTTTTTTTTTTAAATTTTAACACTGCACAAGGAACATTTCACATTTTAACATTTCTAGTTTTAATTCATTATTTTTTTGAGGATCCGCAAATGATATATTTAACAAACATTTTTATCATTAGACATAAGAAGCACATTTGCAAAGATAAAGAAATAAGTAAAAGCTTCACATCAGTTCAAGTGAAAAAAAAATCTTTTAGATTTTTTTTTAGAAAATATGGAAAATTATTATTGTAAAATTGTATATAAGCACGACTCGAATATATTTTTTTAGATTTATCTGTCACAATTAATAATAATAATATTCCATATTCTTATATAAAATGGTATAACTACAATAATATTAAGGCCTATGATATTATAGCAGTAAAGTTTAATTTTTAGATATTCATACTGGTAAATAAGTAAGTCGTGAAAGAGTAATTTCTAACCTGCATGAAACAAATATGTTTGAATCTTCCTAAAGAACGAATGATGCTTGCATGAAATTGTCGCTAAACAGTTTAAACCATATGAGCCGCGTCACGACAAAACCCATTATGTTGGTTTTGTCGTGACGCGGCTCAATTATAGAATACTCGTTATAGTATAATAATTCGCGTACAGTTTACATACAATATTCATGTATGTAACATAATAGAGACATTCTACATGTATACTAAAACTTTTCTACGAGCATTGACCATAAAATTGATTATAGAAACATTTTTTTTAACTTTGGTAAATTTTATAAATTACTTTTTATAATTTTATTATTACATGTATGCAAATGGCTTGAGACGCCCGTCCTTATTTTCTTGGCTTTATTTTTGTCGGAAATTCTTATTTACATAAAATTGACCAGTATTATCACTATAAATGTATATTTACAAACAGTTGACCAGTATAATCACTTACATATAGTTGACCAGTATTATCACTATTAATGTATATTTACATATAGTTGACCAGTATTATCACTATTAAGAGGATATTTTTTCGTTTGAGTGAAATATGGAATATATTTTCACGAAACATGATAAAATGCCACATATTTTCACGAGCCGGGACGGCGAGTGAAAATATTAAGCATTTTATCATGCTGAGTGAAAATATATACCATATTTCACGAAAAACGAAAAAATAACCTTTTTATTTAATTTCATTATCAAAGAAAAATGGTTATGAACCCCCTTGCCTGCTACGCAACTCCAATAATTTAATACAGCGCGCAGCAATATAAGTATCGTCTTGTTTTGCACGCGATATTTAGCGCTAGATTGTGACGTCACGTAAACAACTTTTTAAACGTCTGTACAGCGTTAATGACTGAATTAAAGATATTGGTGTTCGGATTTATTTTCTTAGTTAGACCATTTTCTATCATTCTAGATAGTTTTCAAAACAAAATTCAACAAAAAGTTGTTTGTATTTATCAGATTTTTCAAACAAAATGCCGAAAGAAGTCCCTTAAAATAAATATGAGTTTTGACTCCGCCCACTTTCATATTTACATTTCATATTTATTTTTAAAAAATATGAAATATATTTGACTGATACAGCACCATATTTCATGGGTTAAAATAAATAAAAATATATATTAACATGAACTCGACTAGTATTATCATTATAAATATATATTTACATATAATTGACCAGTATTATCACTATAAATGTATATTTAAATATAGTTGACCAGTATTATCATTATAAATATATATTTACATATAATTGACCAGTATTATCACTATAAATGTATATTTATATATATATGTATATTTAAATATAGTTGACCAGTATTATCACTATAAATATATATTTACATATAATTGACCAGTATTATCACTATAAATGTATATTTACATATAGTTGACCAGTATTATCACTATAAATGTATATTTACATATAGTTGACCAGTATTATCACTATAAATGTATATTTATATATAGTTGACCAGTATTATCACTATAAATGTATATTTACATATAGTTCACCAGTATTATCACTATAAATGTATATTTACATATAGTTCACCAGTATTATCACTATAAATGTATATTTACATATAATTGACCAGTATTATCACTATAAATGTATATTTATATATAGTTGACCAGTATTATCACTATAAATGTATATTTACATATAGTTGACCAGTATTATCACTATAAATGTATATTTACATATAGTTGACCAGTATTATCACTATAAATGTATATTAATATATAGTTCACCAGTATTATCACTATACATGTATATTTACATAAAGTTGAGCAGCATTATCATTATAAATGTATATTTACATATAGTTGACCAGTATTATCACTATAAATGTATATTAATATATAGTTCACCAGTATTATCACTATAAATGTATATTTACATAAAGTTGAGCAGCATTATCACTATAAATGTATATTTACATATAGTTGAGCAGCATTATCACTATAAATGTATATTTACATATAGTTCACCAGCATTATCACTATAAATGTATATTTACATATAGTTCACCAGCATTATCACTATAAATGTATATTTATACATATAGTTGACCAGTATTATCACTATAAATGTATATTTACATATAGTTGACCAGTATTATCACTATAAATGTATATTTACATATAGTTGACCAGTATTATCACTATAAATGTATATTTACATATAGTTGACCAGTATTATCACTATAAATGTATATTTAAATATAGTTGACCAGTATTATCACTATAAATGTATATTTAAATATAGTTGACCAGTATTTTCACTAAAAATGTATATTTAAATATAGTTGACCAGTATTATCACTATAAATGTATATTTAAATATAGTTGACCAGTATTATCACTATAAATGTATATTTATATATAGTTGACCAGTATTATCACTATAAATGTATATTTATATATAGTTGACCAGTATTATCACTATAAATGTATATTTACATATAGTTGACCAGTATTATCACTATAAATGTATATTTACATATAGTTGACCAGTATTATCACTATAAATGTATATTTACATATAGTTGACCAGTATTATCACTATAAATGTATATTTACATATAGTTGACCAGTATTATCACTATAAATGTATATTTACATATAGTTGACCAGTATTATTACTATAAATGTATATTTACATATAGTTGACCAGTATTATCACTATAAATGTATATTTACATATAGTTGACCAGTATTATTACTATAAATGTATATTTACATATAGTTGACCAGTATTATCACTATAAATGTATATTTACATATAGTTGACCAGTATTATCACTATAAATGTATATTTACATATAATTGACCAGTATTATCACTATAAATGTATATTTACATATAATTGACCAGTATTATCACTATAAATGTATATTTACATATAGTTCACCAGTATTATCACTATAAATGTATATTTACATATAGTTCACCAGTATTATCACTATAAATGTATATTTACATATAGTTCACCAGTATTATCACTATAAATGTATATTTACATATAGTTCACCAGTATTATCACTATAAATGTATACTTATACATATAGTTGACCAGTATTATCACTATAAATGTATATTAATATATAGTTGACCAGTATTATCACACTAAATGTATATTTACATATAGTTGACCAGTATTATCACTATAAATGTATATTTACATATAGTTGACCAGTATTATCACTATAAATGTATATTTACATATAGTTCACCAGTATTATCACTATAAATGTATACTTATACATATAGTTGACCAGTATTATCACTATAAATGTATATTAATATATAATTGACCAGTATTATCACACTAAATGTATATTTATATATAGTTCACCAGTATTATCACTATAAATGTATATTTACATATAGTTGACCAGTATTATCACTATAAATGTATATTAATATATAGTTGACCAGTATTATCACTATAAATGTATATTTACATATAGTTGACCAGTATTATCACTATAAATGTATATTTACATATAATTCACCAGTATTATCACTATAAATGTATATTTACATATAGTTCACCAGTATTATCACTATAAATGTATATTTATACATATAGTTGACCAGTATTATCACTATAAATTTATATTTATAAATAGTTCACCAGTATTATCACTATAAATGTATATTTATAGGACGTATTGTTATATGGATGATGAATGACATCGACATGGACAGCCAGTGGGCTCTATGTTTCGAGTTTATGACCCAGACACAAAGTGGCGAGGTAGCCCTAGTGTCCAATGATTGGAAGAAAGCATCGTTTACCTACAAAATAACGCACATACCTGATAAAAACCTTGTTGTCGGGTATTTCAGGATGAAAGATGGAACTATAGCAGAACTAGTTGTTATGGGTGTGGTCAGTTGTTATCAATATCTTTATACTCAGATAAATACAGTTGTATCACAATAATTCATAGTTGCGTGTATATTCATTTAATAAGATAGAGTTCAGTTTATTTCGTAATTACTTAAATATTTTCTATATTTTCACTAATTCAACAAATCCCGTCACATCATGTTGTAATTATTTCTAAAATTTGGAAAAAAAATCTATTTTCTTCCACAGTGCATTTATAGTAATAATCAACATTAATGAATAATTAGAAATGCTATATCAACATAAATTAATTATAAATACATTTTTGTTTTAGATGCCACATGTCCCACATTTTCTAAGGGTCGCTAAACTTGGAGCTATCATGAAAATGCGAATTGACAACATGCCCCCTGCCACCGTTGCAATAGGTAAGGAATTAATTTAAATATGAAAAGAAATGAATGGATCTACAATTTGTTTTGAAGTTTACATGGAAAAAAACAACAACAACAGATAACAATCTTTTTCAAATGTTTAAATGGGTTTAATTTAATGTAAATAAATGCAAAGAAACTCCAAAAGTTATTCTTTAAGATCATTTGGTTTTTTTTTACGAATTTGAAGCATACTTGTCATGGTAGTTTGTGTATAGTGATTTGACCTTTACGGAGTTTTAGCAGTGTGAAAATGCGACTTGTTTAAACAGTTATTACATATAAAATGATAAACCGTTTTATTACCATGATGTTTTAGTTAATTTTACTTAATACACGAACCTTTGTTATTATACAGGCGCTGGTGTGGCTTCGTCCCCAACACCAATGGTTATAGGAGCAGCAAACGGTTGCCATGGTTTTAAAGGTTTCTTTGATGAGGTAGGTCCTATGCCGCCCTGGCGCGCTCTCTTGTTATAATTAATGATTTATAAAAGTTAAATTTAGTGGACTCTAAATATTTTCATTTCATTTTTTTTCTTTCAATACCACCAATATATGCTATTTCATTAACGACACTGTTGACCATTTCGTTTCAATTAAAGGTTTTCCAATATTTTGCCGAAATGTTTTTATCTCATTAAAATTGAAAAAACTTCGTCGCAGACAACCAACATTTTCATTTGTCTATTGCATCTATTGCATCTAAATGATATTTATAACCTAACTTTTGTCTTGTTTTTGGAATGCTTGGGTCTTTTTTTAATGTACATCATATTTTATTTACTTTACTATTTTTTACTATTCTTTACAGTTGAAGTTTTTCCGATGTGTGCCGCCAACATTTTTCGGGGACTATAAGGGCATGAAGTAAGAGACTCGAGACAAAATGCACGGAAATTTCGTGCAGATATGATGACACGTTTATATGTGCTGCTGATTTTAATATACTAGTTTATTTATTATGTATTTATTGGTAGGAATATTTAAACACCAACACAAAATTTAGTTGTTTACAGGATAATGTCAAAACAAAATAAGATAGAATGCTCTATTTTATGTTTTAATAAGAAAAGTTTTAAAGTTGTAATATTTGATGATTTGAAGGTATTAATCACAAAAGTTTAAAAAAATGAATATTACGACTTTAGATTATCAGATGAACATTTTTGAGGTTCGCGAATTATAAGTTTAACTCGTACGTATGTCCATTTTATGTATACTGCATATTATATGTGTTAGCTATAACTTATATATTTAAGTTATATATTTAAGTTATTCTTTTAAGTTATATATTTAAGTTATTCTAGTAATATACACGTTGAAAGTAGATTAATGTACATGTATTTTCATATTTCATGATTGTTAAAAATAAAAATAGTTAAAATACAGTATATTGAAAAGAATGCTACAAAATAAATTATGTTCACAAGAAACTTGTTTAATGTTTATCGTTTTGTATCGACCACGTATAATTTAAAATCCAAGAACACGACCTAAAATGTATTTCTAATACAAATTCGGGAACTATACGGTTCATATCAGCGATAAGTTATTTTCTTGATTATAATGTTTTTTTTTTTAAAAATTTTGATTAAAACACATCATTCATGTTGAAATGTTGAGTTCTGCTTAAAACGGAAGCTTGTATTTGCCACTGCTGTCTATGTGAAGAGGCCAAATCAAACCGAGCCTGCAACATTTGAGCCGCGTCATGACAAAACCAACGTTATGTGTTTGCGACCAGCATGGATCCAGACCAGCCTGCGCATCCGCGCAGTCTGATCAGGATCCATGCTGTTCGCTTACAAACCCTACAAGTAGAGAAACAGATAGCGAACAACATGGATTCTGATCAGACTGCGCATCGGTCTAGATCCATGCTGGTCGCAAATGCATTACGTTGGTTTTGTCATGGCGCCGCTCATTTTCAGTTTTGTCGTTTTTGGAGTTCTTAAGATTTCTCATTTTAACTGGTTTGGTATTCAGGTAATATAGCGTGGAATCTTTCTCATGTTTCGAGAAGTCATTAGGCTGCAAACACCTGTTTTTTATTTGGCTATTCAAACAGCAAGAAACCCAAACACTTTCGATTTTTTCGACTGTTTACTTTTGAATATACTTGTATTGATCCTTTCAACGCTTCATATAATAAATTTCAAAATAGGTACTTATTGAAAAGTGCAGAAAAGTGCAGATCATGACAATCATGACGACAGGCTGATCTTTGTCTGGATAGATTAATTGCCCTCAGCAGTCTAAGGGCCAACACAGATCGTAATGAATTAAACATTAAATAGTTTGCATTATTTTTCACTTGTGATCCGCATTTTAAAACATCTTTGATCACATGTTGCTGTTATAATATTAATAAAAATAATAAATACCCACCTTACCTTTATTTGTGAGAATTTAAGATGTGATTACAGATAAATTAAATTAAATCACTCATGGCTTCAAGGACAAGCCTGGATTCATTTTTTGCTTCTTCTTTTTCTCTCATCTCATCTCATCTCATGTTTTGAGAAGTTAAGATACAGGTTTATACTTTTTGATATATTTTTTACATTAAAGAGATAATTTTAAGGAGTATTGTAATGGAGATATACGTTTTTAAATACCCATCACTATTTCCCATAGCTCAATGGGAGTTTTTTTAATCGTTAATGCAAATGTACCACGTGACTTAGAAATATGTACTGTATCACACGACATAGTACTTTTTAACAGTATAAAATCTGGTCACGTGGTATATTTTCTAAAAAAGAAAAAATGGTCGCCATATTATTTTTCCTCGACACAGCCTCTTTATATCGAAGTTCACTACGAATGGGCATCACCAAAGTGTCAATGGCACTCAGAAAATTTAGTTGCTTGCACCCTTGAGTGGTTTTCGTGTCTTAACCCATTACGTTATATACACGCCTTTAAACGCCTTTTTCACCTCCCCCCTTTTTGTTGTCTCAAATGGTGAAAAAATGCCTTATTTAGGCCCCCAACACTTGTTTTCGTTTGAGAAATGTTGTTAAAAAAGTGACATCTTTATCGGCGCGGCCCCCAACCAAAAGATACATAAGGGGGTTGCCAGAAGGGGGATGTGCCCCCTTCTGTTTGGGGGGTTTGAAGGGGGCGGAGTCCCCCTCATCGCCAAGAAAATTTTGGACTTGTGAGAGGCTATAAATGACCCCAGATTGATCATAAGGTAACGTGTAACCAACGCTGAAAAGCATTTGAATCTATCTCAATCCTTTGAGAAGTTGCAGCACTTGATGGAAAAAATCAACGCAAAATAGTGATTTTTGGCAATTTTGAGATTCCCCTCGTTGCCATGGTAACAGAAAATTTAAGCCTGAGCATGTTGTTGCAAGAGCAATGGTCCAGTCAACATTTGTGCCAAGTTTGATTAGTGTTGAAGCAGTTTTTATAGTATTATAGCAATTTGAACTTGTTACGGGAGACTTTTCAATGAAATCAGCCATTTTTCACAAAATGCTCATGAAGTAATGGGTTAAATATCTTTTGGTCGAATAGTCAAAATATTCAAAATATTTACATCCGTTTTTATAGCAATTTGCTTGGCAAAATAGAAGAAGCAGACGATGAAAGCATATAATATAGGTTTATTTAACTAATTTAATTAGTGAAACATGACAGGTGTGGTAGAGAGATGTAGGATATCATCGTCACAAACCATGCATTAAAAGTGATGTCTTGGTTCAATTTTGTTACAGTTAGATTTAGCTTAAATTTTCAGATCATTAAAGTACTTGTTTGGGGTAATAAAATTAATAACACATAGGTTTGTGAGTAACGCCACGGGTAACAGTATTTTCCTCGGGATGATAATTATTTTTACTGTTACTCACGAACCTTTGTGAGCTGCGTCATGCCAAAACCAACATATTGCGTTTGCGACCAGCATGGATCCAGACCAGCCTGCGCATCTGCGCAGTCTGATCAGGATCCATGCTGTTCGCCTACAAACCCTATTACAAGTAGAAAAACTGATAGCGAACAGCATGAATCCTGATCAGACTGCGCGGAAGCGCAGGCTGGTCTGGATCCATGCTGGTGGCAAACCCATTATGTTGGTTTTGTCGTGACGCGGCTCATTTGTTATTTACATTATAGCAAACAACTTATACTTACTTACATATATCAACAATATTTCTCCAGATAATATTGAATCTAGCAATCAAGCAATACCGATAAATTAAATTGAACTAAAATTGAATTGGACATATAACTGGACAAATATTGAATTGGACGCAATGAAATAAAAAGAATAAAACAAACATTATTTTGAAGATATAATAACAAAATGTATACAAACAGGAACTTTAAAAACACTTGCATTTAAAATGTAAAACATTATTGTTTGAAATATATAACATGGATTAAATGCCCAAGTTAAGAATTCATGACATTATGCACACTATAATAACAAAAACAAAGCAAAAAAATAGAGAAACTTCAACCATTTTTGTGTGTGTGTGTGTGTGTGTACCACTGCTGTCACTAACAACCAGTGTAGATCAATATGTTATTGATTCATCATGACGTCATGACTCTAAGAATTGTGACGTCTGAAAATCAGAAATTGTTTGAGCTATCCATTAAAATGAAAAACAGTCACAATTCAACGTAAACAGACATTAATTAGATAAAGGTTAAAAAGTTATAGTTAGGTTATCTAAAGTTTGCAATTTTACTGTTCGTATTTTGATCAGAATCCTACCAATATATTTTAAATAAAAGAATGATGTCTGTTAAATCTCATAAAAGTGAGTATTAAATGCATGCACGAAATTATAGCTAGACCCACGTGAAATAGCAATCGGAATCCTTTGTATCGGAAGGTTTTGTTCTGTTTACCTATAAAATTCACGTTATGTAACGTTACAGACACTGTGTCGAGAAAATTCTTTCGACAAAATGACCATAACGCTATGAAGATATAAATATTTGTTTGAAATTGTAAAAACATATTTCACCACTTAGACACTCTTCAAAAAACAATTGTTAAATTATGTTTAATTTTCATGAATATTTACTTAAATTATGCAAATCTAGCACAGACGCTTATAAATGTCAATATTCTATGAAACTTCTTATAATCTTTCACATTTTTATCATTTTAAAAATGATAAGTACCTTTAAAACAAAAATGGCAAAATAAATAAATCCAATACATATTCTTTAAACATCATAGCAAAGTAAAAACAACAATTATTACCCTTGAAACATAACGGAAAATTAATATAACCGAATAATTACCCTTAAATTATAATAGAAAAATAAAAAAATACCGTGGCTTAATGAAAATGGAATAAAGTTTAACTCTAAAAATATAAAATATTGTAAATTGTAAATCAAATCGAGTGAAATTATTGCTCATCCATTATTAATTTATCAATATTTATGAAATTAATGTCATAAATGAGTTATGTTTATGAATCCGATGATATTAATTCATTTTTATAGAGATTTAACATAACATTTAATATTAATTATCTTTTAGCCAAATCAGTGACAAAGAAATTTCGAATTTATACTTATTATGTAGCATGAAATGAAATTTTCTATGTTATAATCCATCCCGATGCACTGTGTATTTCATATTCATGAAAATTCGAACTCATTTTGATATTTTCTTCAAACATTTACTAAATTCTTTTCAAAGAAAACGACAAAAAAAAAATCAAAATATGAAATATTGTGACACATCTCATTTGTGGTGACCCATGCTTTTTTGAGATTGTATGTAACAAATGAAGTTACAACAGTATTTTTAAAATATGGATTCATTTACCGAGTCAAAACATATCATTTTAAATTTATATGTTTCATTGGAAACATCACCGTGTTTCACAATTGATGAAAAATGCATGGAAACAAAACTGTCATGAAAATTATGAACAGTCACGTGATTTTGACAAAACAGACACGTGATATGATGAAAATATCTCAACATGCATGACCAACATCGAGCATATGAGTTACCAAGTTTGTGTAATTTATAGCCCCAAGATGCCATAAATATTACGTCAAAATCCTCAAACCTTTATTCTAATCCATCATTTTGATGCAAAATCACCACTCTCAAATTTAACTTTAACAGTCTAACAATAATGATGTCAGTTAGATATCACAGCGAAATTGGCAGACAGCCCTGAGGTACAGTTTCATTACTCGTGATTCCCGTGCATCAGAACCCTCCAATATGTTATATTGAAATGTTGGTTTTGTATGTTAATATGAATCTATTTTAAGAAACATCACGCACTTTATCAAAATGGATTAGATTATAATGTACCCTAAGTATCATTTATTTTGATTTTGAGTGACTTAATATAAACACTAATTCATAATTCGTTTCTCAGTTCTTTGGGTCCCTTTGTATTTGATTTGCTACGGGGTTCACGTTCTTTTATGTAATCAGTAGGTACCTTCTGTTTGATTGTGATTGGCTGAAGTAACACGTCACAAACACGTCAATTTATTATTCCAGCCATTAAAGAACCGCCATATGTTATCATACAACAATTCATATTATACAATTTTTGTTGTATTAAAGCTAGCTTCATCCGTACCATATATTGTTTCAAAACTTTTACTTGTTCAGTTTTTGAAATAATAAATCTTTATCTTTTGCAATTTCATTCTTGCTTCCATGCCTTTATTTTGACGAGACACTACACACGTTCCTTCTAAGGCAACATTATTTAGGTATTTTCAAATGTTATTACATAATTTGATTCAATTGTATCTTATTTACAAAATGTTCCGGAATTTCAACAGTTTTTGGAAGAAATTGCTACATGCTCAAATTATGAGGTCAGTTTTTGTGTGTTTTTTTTTTGGTAGCTAGTCTTCACAATTTCTCCGAAAACACTGAGTTTCTATCCGGATCATGTAAGTCTGGATATTTAACTGACATGTTATCATCTGAATCATATGTGAATATTGAGTTTGTTATTCCATTGTGGACGTGTCCATTCGTGTGTCCAAACTCACTTTTTCTCCTTCCATTTATTCCATTCGAGACACCATTGCACCGCGACGAATGCGTCCGATTTAAGGACTTTGTGCTTCGCCTGAAGCTTCCTCTATAAGCTGTTGAAAAGTCTACACTGCTTTCAGAAAGGTCTGTCGTAGCGGTACTGGTACCGTGTAATGTCGATCCACCACCGCCATCTGGCGCTCGGGAACCATTCCTATCAACATCTATAGTATCCAAACTAACCTCAGATCGTATGCGAGAAACATTAGTGCGTCCCCGCATTTTGTACAGCCTTTCTTCTTTTAGCGGCTTGATTTTGTAATAATAATATTCTACAACGAATGCTATCAGAGAGAGGCCGGTTCCTATGGCGATTACGAGGAAAACACCACCGATATTTTGAATGGAAATTCCATCACTTTCATCTTCAATTCGGTCACATTCTTTTTTCAATTCATTGGAATCCCACCACTTGTTTGTCAGATCTTCGAGGTATCGGTTGTTAGAAAGTTCAAGAATTCTACAAAATAATGTTACAAAAGGTTTTATTTCATGGATAAAACAAACTGAAACTTAATACAAATAGAAATTAATCAATCATTATTTTAAGGATTAAATTATTTTTGGAATAAATACATCGTTAAAGAAATTTTTCTATCATAAATTATGATTTTTATTACTATTCAGAAACTATCATTCAGGTAAAACTTCTATGGATATACCAACAAGTCAGACTAATAGCTAATAATGACCATAAAGCCACTAGAAAGTGTTTATAAAGATTAATATGAAATGCTGCAACTAACAAAGAATCTTTTTATGAACACTGATCCATAAAGAACTTCTTTATAAGTTTGAACCTACCAATCAAGTTGTTATTGACAGTATATCAAAAATCTAGACGTGTACTCCATGAGAAAACAAAATTAACAACAACAACAAAAACAAAACTTACACGTTAGACATCTGAGCCCGCAGTGGAGATCCCTGAGTGACAGCAAAGGCAAAAGGTTTCCTGCTGAACTCCTCGCCTATCTCCTCTACATTACAATCTGTTAAAACTTGATACCTGTTCCGGCTTCTATCTTCTGCAATAAACAAAAATATACCATGACATTTATATAACAAGACTGACTATCTTGTTCATTTGTTTCATTTTACGCCTTTTCCCCAACAGTATTTCAGTATCGGCGGGTAGTTTCCTAACCATCGTTCCTGGAGAGTTACACCAGTACTAGACTACCTTCATCCGCGCTAAACTACCAAAGCATTTCCCGGGGATCGAACCTACGCCAGAGAGGTAACTGGATTAGAAGTCATCGACTCTAACCCATCGACAACGGAGGCGGTTGACTGGCTATCTCTGACTGTAAACATATGCAAGGTGCATGTAGATGCCATTTTATGTTCCCTATAAGTATTCACACCAATAGAGCAAAATAACTTATGTAATAAAGAAAGGCTTGGTAATAAAGAAACAATTTAATTTTCTTTTAGTTTTTAAAATGTTGTTTTCTTAACAGATTTGACAGTTTTCGTTTCAAATAATTATCATTTAAATTAAAGTTTATCCGATTTTATATTTATATTTATAGATTCAAAAGAACACATTAAAGGTTTTAGTCTTATCTAAAAAAAATCAGCATTAATTTTCTTTTATCCTGAAACCTTCGTTTTCATATTTTGTTGAAATTGTATTGTTACCCATCTTTCATCTATAATGATTCAATGACTATATAGTAGTTTAAATAAATCATGCATAGTAAAAATATTAAAATATTACTGTAACAAAAGTGTAAAGAAACATTTTTGAAACGGAGATGTGATGGTTTCCAATCATTTTGTTAACATATTTTTTCTCTTAACTTTTTCATCAACAGTCACAATAAAAAGTTTTACTTTTTTACTTTGCAAGACTCCATCAATATCATATTCACGAAAATATACATTCATGGCGAATGATTGGATTTGAAAAAAGAACCCAATAAAATATATTATAAGGCTACAAATCAAACTTTACATACAAACGATTTACTGAGCGGAAGGTGAAATAAATTTTCTGTTTTCTTTTATTTAAAATATCAACTCATACTACATTTCCTTCAAGGAAGTGCAACGGGCATGTCCTCAAAACATAATTTTGATTTAGATGGCACAATGCAAAATTAAAATCTTACGACTAAAATTATCTGTTATTGATTACTTTAACAAATGTAGAACATTATAAAAATGTCACAAACGGTTACTTATGACTATAATTAGACTGAAGAAGAAATATTTCTTTTGTGGAAAAATAAAAAATAAAATAAAAATATAACAACTAATTTATGACCCCTACTGTTAGAAACAACCAAATACAAATTGTTGTTAAATGGTCCGTGAATGACCATATCATTATTTTTTTTAAAAGTTGTAGCTTCATGTATATACACATGCACATTATTTGGAATAATAGAAAAATTGGTCACACAAAATAATGAACACAGCGAAAACTAATGATATCGTTGCTAAAAGTGGAGGTTTCTTTAAGAAAATGGCAATGGCCTTGCTTTTTTACTTGCAATTAGGATATCTATCTAAAATTTGTACCCCAAACCTAGAATCAGAATAAATTGGCAGAAATAAATGGACGAATGGTGTATATAATTATAGAAGAGATATAAGTTTATATAGAGAGAAAGCGGACGACTTTCCTGCGATTTTTAAATTGGCATGTTCGAAAAATATTCATCCACGAGCATTTCCAAATATAAGTAATTCATCTAACTTTGTTATTTCCTTATTTAGAGAAAACTATATTTGAGCCGCGTCACGACAAAACCAACATAGTGGGTTTGCGACCAGCATAGATCCAGACCAGCCTGCGCATCCGTGCAGTCTGATAAGGATCCATGCTGTTCGCTATCAGTTTCTCTACTTGTTAGAGTTGGTAAGCGAACAGCATGGATCCTGATCAGACTATGTTGGCTTTGTCGTGACGCAGCTCATTTATTATCTAGGATATATTATAATTGACTTCATGATTTTATAATAATAAAAATAATAATAATAATATCTTTATTTAAAGAAGGTTACACATTAAGAACATACAATAACAATCATATATGTATTTTGTGTGTTGTATTCTGATATGAATAAGGAGCAAAGAACTTAAGTCTAAACACACAGGTCATGGTCCTTTCTATTTTGTATGAATATTTTTAATTCAATTCAAATTATTCTCTGATGACAGCTAATTATATTCATTGATATAGATAATATATATACTTGTAAGAATGTGCATATATTACATTAGGTATGAAAATTAAAATTTTGTTATATTCAACCATCAATCTAAGTAAAATCAGGTCCTAAATTACGCTACGCATTAGGAAAGAAATAAGTAGATCTGAAGTTTAGTCAGATTGATTCAACCACAAGATTAGAATCATTTCATGAATGCAAATGACTAAAGGATTCGTTTCCTTGTATATTTTTGCAGTTTATGTCCATATATATTTATTGTCAGATTTTCATTAAATTGCAATGGATCAAATGGTATCAAAGATATTACAAATAAATGTGATCCTTCCATTTTAATGAGTTAAATGCAAATAAATTGTGCTGAAATCTTGATAAATGTTTTTGTTTTTTCTTTTACATATTTATTTACATGTAGCGTTATTTTATTTAGTTTTATCTAAGTTACAGTTAAGAAATTGGAATTGAAATATTTTATGTATTTTTTTTATAAAAAAAAAACATATTAGCCGCGTCACGACAAAACCAACATAGTGCGTTTGCGACCAGCATGGATCCAGACCAGCCTGCGCATCCGCAGCATGGCTGGCCGAATCTTCAAAAACACGCACATTTCGCCTGTCGCGTTTCCTATTGATCAAAATCTTCCACTTACACTTTTACAAAAGGCATGAAAACTTCTATTTTATAAAGAATGTTTATGTAATATACATATTTCTCTGTAAATTTATTTCTGTGCTAAGTGAGTAGTTTTCACTTTGTGATTAGCGGTTTTAGTGAGTAAAGTGATTATTGCTAAATGTGTTATGTCCTCTGTGTGAGTAATGTTCCTTATGTTCTTAGTATGTAGTGACCTTTGTGTTATTTGTGCTTAGTGTGTCATGTCCTCCGTGTGATTTGTGCTAAGTGTGTCATGTCCTGCGTGTGATTTGTGCTTATTGTGTCATGTCCTCTGTGTGATTTGTGCTTAGTGTGTCATGTCCTGCGTGTGATTTGTGCTTATTGTGTCATGTCCTCTGTGTGATTTGTGCTTATTGTGTCATGTCCTCTGTATGATTTGTGCTTAGTGTGTCATGTCTTGCGTGTGATTTGTGCTTATTGTGTCTCATGTTCTCTGTGTGATTTCTGCTTAGTGTGGCATGTCCTCCGTGTGATTTGTGCTAAGTGTGCCAAGTCCTCCATGTGATTTGTGCTTAGTGAGTCATGTCCTCCGTGTGATATAAGCTTAGTGTGTCAAGTCCTCTGTGTTATTTGTGCTTAGTGTGTCAAGTCCTCTGTGTGATTTGTGCTTAGTGTGTCATGTCCTCTGTGTGATTTGTGCTTAGTGTGTCATGTTCTTTGTGTGATTTGTGCTTAGTGTGTCATGTCCTCCGTGTGATTTGTGCTAAGTGTGTCATGTCGTCCGTGTGATTTGTGCTTATTTTTTCATGTCCTCCGTGTGATTTGTGCTAAGTGTGTCATGTTCTCTGTGTGATTTGTGCTTAGTGTGTCTGGTCCTCTGTATGATTTGTGCTTATTGTGTCATGTCCTCTGTGTGCTTTGTGCTTATTGTGTCATGTCCTCTGTATGATTTGTGCTTATTGTGTCATGTCCTCTGTGTGCTTTGTGCTTATTGTGTCATGTGCTCTGTATGATTTGTGCTAAGTGTGTCATGTCCTCTATGTGATTTGTGCTTAGTGTGTCAAGTTCTTTATGTGATTTGTGCTTAGTGTGTCATGTCCTCTGTGTGATTTGTGCTTAGTGTGTCAAGTTCTTTATGTGATTTGTGCTTTGTGTCTCATGTTATCTGTGTGATTTGTGCTTACATGTGTGTGATTTGTGCTTAGTGTGTCAAGTTCTTTATGTGATTTGTGCTTTGTGTCTCATATTCTCTGTGTAATTTGTGCTTTGTGTCTCATGTTCTCTGTGTGATTTGTGCTTAGTGTGTCATGTTCTTTATGTGATTTGTGCTTAGTGTGGCAAGTTCTTTGTGTGATTTGTGCTTAGTGTGTCTGGTCCTCTGTATGATTTGTGCTTAGTGTGTCATGTCCTCTGTGTGCTTTGTGTGTCATGTTCTCTGTGTGATTTGTGCTTAGTGTGTCATGTTCTCTGTGTGATTTGTGCTAAGTGTGGCATGTTCTCTGTGTGATTTGTGCTTATTGTAGTGTGTCATGTTCTCTGTATGATTTGTGCTTAGTGCGTCATGTCCTCTGTGTGATTTGTGCTTAGTGTGTCATGTCCTCTGTATGATTTGTGCTAAGTGTGTCATGTCCTCTGTATGATTTGTGCTTAGTGTGTCATGTTCTCTGTGTGATTTGTGCTTTGTGTCTCATGTCCTCTGTATGATTTGTGCTTAGTGTGTCAAGTCCTCTGTGTGATTTGTGTTAAGTGAGTTATGTTCTCTGTGTGAGCTGTGCTAAGTTATTAATGTTATTAATGTGTGACTTGTGTTAAGTGAGTTAGTAATTAGTAATTAGAAAGATTGTTAGTAATTTTATTGGAGTAGCGGGGGATCGAACTCGCAACCCCTTGATTCGTAGTCAGACAGTGTTACCACTGGACCACAGCGCCCGCTCTGATTTATAACTATTTTGGAAAGCCCTATATACATTATCACATTAATGGCCAACAAATTGGTTATACAATCGAATTTTAACACCTTAGTATAGCTGTAAAGTTGAACGCTTAAAACGTATTGTAATTAGCCAATTGTTCACTCTCTGTCATTGCCTGAGGGGTTACAATATAGCCACCATTACAGAAACAGTTTACATTTAAATAAGCAAAACTTATTAAAACAAATTAGATGACTGTTAAGCAATATATGTCCTGTGTCGGAAAAAGAAAAAAAAGAAATATTGACAATAAGTTGGCTGAAAAACAATATATTGGTGATAATGAAAAATGAAGCTTTTCAATTTGGCTTCCGTTTAGGATATTTTTTGTTTTGGTTGAAATAAGGATAACAAAATCATTTGAATCTGTTTTTAGAATTTTCTCAGTCAGTTGTAATCTGGCTAGAATATAAACTAAAGCTTTATTTTAGTGTAAAGTAGCGTAATTGAAACACAAGGAGAAATATGAATTAGATTATACATATCTATCTAAAGATATCTGTATCTCTTAGTACCCATAGAGGCATGTGTGCCGATTTATTGTTATGTTCAAATGTAATGCATGTTTTGCTGAATTGCTGAATATTGTGCTCTTACAGTGGAAGATACATTTGTAAACTGATATGTCACACATTATTCTATTATCATATATTTGAGTCAGAAATTAGTAATTATTCAAGAAAATATACACACATATAAGTTACAAAATTGCAATTTATAGTTTTACCAATTAGAGCTAATTCTCCACGTCTGACCATCTCCATCGCTTCACTCGTCGTGTTTGGAACATGCATTCTACTAATGAGCTTTGTAAATTGTTCACTAACTGGGTAGTCCCACACTGCTAGTTTAGCACGTGCAACAGCATCCAAACTGTCATTTAGACTCATATCCTTCCAGATTCTAAAAAAATTACATCATTTCTATGCGTTTGTATGGATTCGTGTAATTAACGTAAAACACATTATTTAGCTTAACTGGTTAGAGTTAAAGTATGGAAATATTTTGTACTTTAGTAGCTATTAATGACTTTAAATATTGTATTGGTTATTTAAGCAATGTCTACTTCTAACTGCAGATCTTTGATTACAGAAATTTTTTATCCGTAATAAGCAATGCGTACATGCATGAAATTTGAAATCGTTTAAGGGGCAATAAAAAATATGAGCGATGTAGGATGTTTACAACATAAAGCTAAGAATATTATACAGCTAATATGTCAGAAATATTATGAACTGTTTCTTTTCATCTGGTACCGTACATAAGCTGCATTGATTATACAGTTACAAATATTTCAAAACGAATAGATACCTGTAAAACTGCTCTTCAATTTCTTTCATTCTGTTGAAATATATCAATGCACTTGTTCCATTTATTGGTCCATATTTCACACTCTGTTGTTTTGAAAGGTCTTCCAAAGAGGTTATCGGAGTCTCAAGTCTCGTTACCGTGAGGAATGCAGCGAGATTTGCCGTGTAAAATGCCACCAACAAAAATCCATACAGCCACCATGTAGCCGCAACAAGACGACCAGAAACTGCTTTTGGTGCCTCACCACCTCCTGAAAATCAAGAATAGTTATATTATAAATGTTATTTAAGAGACGAATCATTAATGAAAAGGGAAAAATCTAAATAATGATATCAATACGAAAAAAGCCTATAAGTAGAAGTCATAAAACCAATCAGCATATTAATGTGCAAAATAGTTTTTTTCTGAACATCCGTTTCATTTTATGTATGGAAAACAAAGAAATTTTTCTTATTTAATTTGTTTTAAGAAACCTAATAAGCCTAAAAATTTATACTTTTGACTTCATTTACTCTTCAGCTAATTTGTGCAAGCATCTTTGTGTTTGAATTTTGATTTTTAGAATAGCCAATGAGATTTCCAGATTTCAGTTTGTAATTTTAAAATGACCAATGAAAATTCTTCTTATATTCAGTTCTTCCATGTAAATTTTACAGGAAGTCAAACTGATTTTAGACGGCCTTCGGTCGGAAAATTGCAAAGACGAATCTTATTTAAGATACCATTTCTTTTATACTGAATAATCCATTTAACGGAAATGGAAAGGTGATATGGTTTTATAAATTAATACACACAAGACATGCCTACCTTGAGGGGTAAGGGAAGTCATACAAAACCAGATGCCTTCTTTGAATGTGAAAATTCTTTTTTCTGGACCAGCTCCGCGGTCTGGATTGTTTTGGTAGCTGGAGAAGACAGAAGAAAAGCTTATGTAAATATTATTTGAATTTAGTGATTTGTATCAAAAACTTATTAAGAGTCGCTAAAAATTTTGCCATTGACGTTTTGTAGCTATTTACTTTATAGCTAAATTATTGTCAATGCTCTCTTTGTGTTACTGAATTTTGATCAATAAAAAAGGCTCGAGGAATAGCCGTCGAGAACAATGAAACAAAACTGAATTTGTGACCAAATTAGTTAAAATTTCCTGTTGCTTGGAGACAATGAAAAACGCAACATCTCTCATGCCAGTGATACCGACTTAAGTTGAAAAAAAACACAAGATAAATAAATGCAAAAATGTTAATATAAATACTAAACCTGAAAGGGCTGAATTTGTCAAATAACCACATAAGAACGCTGAACAAGAAGTAGGAGGCCACAATGCATCCCCAAACCTCCGGCTCAAGAACGCTGAGGAACCGATGAAGCGTGTACTCGAACTTTGACTTCTTCATAAGAATGGTTAGACCAACCGGCTCATGGAAAGGCACAGTGAAGTCGACCACATTTTCTCGTTCAGACATCACTGATATTGGCCCCACAGCAATATCTGCTTTCTATAATATAAAAACCAATTAAATTTCATTACTTTCCTTATGTATCAGAATAAAATGCACTTTAAACTGGAAAATAAAATTGTAATCAAGCGTTATGATGATCTGAATAATGCAATTAAACAGTTTGATAGTCTGTAAGAAAGAAGTTAGACTGAAAGGCAAGAAAAGTTTAAAACACAACGCAGGTAAAGGCGAGAGAGGAATAAAGGATTCACTCCCTGTATTATATTTCATTTATTTTCACACATCCTCATTCAATATATAGGAGTCTTCTTGCTTCACTTGTTTGCTTATTTGTTTTGTCATATACAAGAAGACCAATTATTTAAGCAGAGTATCATTCATACTATATTTTTATGTATTTACGTAAACCGACAATGACAAGTTGTGCTGGCGTTTTAAGAATTGCACCAAAAAAATGCATGCAATAATCTGATATTCGATTTGATTTTTGTTTATGCGACAGCATATCTCGGGGTAAGTATATCAAAAATGTTAATCTCTGACTTGTACCTTCACATACGATTATTAACATTCATATAAAAAATTTGAGCCCAAACTTATTCATCTTTAAATGAAAAGCAAGACTAACAAGTTTCAGAAATATAGCAAATATTGAGAGGCGAACATTCACACCATGAATGACATTCAGATCATAAAGTCTCGCTGCTTACCTTTTCAATGAGTTCATGGATTGCTCCATTCCAAGTCCCATCGTCATTCAGTGATCCAAAGTAACCATCTTTAGTTTCGTAAAAGTCGTAGTCAAAATCTAACTTTTTAGCTATCTCTTTAAACAAATCAACGCACAAACCTAAAAAAAAAATAGCAAAGAAACTGCGGCATGAATAATAAAACTAGTTTTCAATCTAGTTTAAAGTTATAGATTTATAGAACACCGGCCCTCAATTACACCAAATTTGAAATAATATTTCATGTCCTCAAGTATGAACAAACCAATACAACAAAGACACACAAGAAATTGAAATATAGAAAGTACATAGAGGTTCATGTCTACGTAAGGCAATACGACTAGAATATTACAGTTACTCGATTGAAACAGCCCACTTGCGGATGTATATATCGCAAAAGAAAAAATACGACTAGGATATTACAGTTACTCGATTGAATCAGCCCACTTGCGGATGTATATATCGCGAAAGAAAAAAAGAAACATTAAAACAAATTACCGCAGTCTTATTGCTTTAGATCTCAAACATACACTGTTAAGGCCAAATATAGGCTTGAAATTTTCATGATCATCGACGTGTAACAACGTATACGAATGTTTTAAGAAAATGTTCATGTTTAAATGTTGACATTTGCTTCAGTCGGTGCTAGGGAGGGGGCGGAGTGGAGCGAGCGGTAGACTAAATACCACTATCGTCCACGAACAAGCTCGGTTTTATTTAAGATTACCATTTATATATATTTTTGGCTTCCAACTGCCTTGGGGATAAAGAAATCTAATTTAAATAAAGTCTGTTTCTTTTAAGTCAGATAATTTGTTTGAATTAGAATTGAAGTAAATCGTGACCATTGTGACAACAAACATTATGTTACATAAAATGAAACTTGTACTTATAGAAGGTTCTGTATTATTTTAATTTTCACATACGAATCTTGTTTCACAATAGTCACCTTTGTCCACTGTTGCAAGAAATTTTAAACTGTTTAAACATTCCTTCTCAGATAGCATTCGGATAACTTGTTTAATCTCATTGACATTGACATACAAATGTGTTGTGTTAAATACACTTGTTAAATTAATTAACACCCTGTTACCAGGTATGGCAATTGATGTGAACGCACACTTGATACCTCGAAACACGACTCATCTCAAACTGTTGAAATGAGTATCCAGCAATTATAAGATTTCTATATAGTATATAAGTATGTAGTATGTAATAAGACGCTAAGAAAGAATTAAACGATCTAAACAGCTCAAATCATTAAGCCTTCCCAATGGGAAAAAAAAACAAGTGGGTCAATGACTTCATAGATTTAGCGATGTCAGCTTTAATTGAACATTTATTTTGTCCTAGTTTAACATTGTAACTCTTGGTATATTACCATTCTATTATACTGAAATTCTAAGGCTTAGGATTAGAAAGGGACCTGATTGAAAAGCAATACGGAGCAACGATTCACTTGATATGACGTCATATGGAGGCATATTTAAGAAATGATATCGGCCCCTGTGACCCTGTTTTGTACCGTAGGCTTAAGTTGTTATTTTTTTCGCACCAAAACAGCATGTTACAAGTTATGTTAGAATATTTTATAATGTCTGATGCTGTATGGAAAGCCATGTTCTTTCTTATATTACATATCAGTACATTTTACTCTAAATATTTAAGAATAAATAAATACAAATGTATAATTACAAAGGAAAAAAAACAAGAGTCATATTTGTGATGTTCTTTTAGATTTATGAATTAACAATACATGTACAGTGTATTTATTAATAAAAATACAAACCAAGTAAAACATTTAACTACTATTCAAATCCCACAATAACTCCAAGCAATAAATACTTAAAAGTGTGTGATTATTTGAAATTATAAAGATTTTTTTTTAAAATCTTTAAAAGAAATGTTGTTAAAATTTCAACTGACCATTATATTCATAGATGTACGTTCCATTTGTATATATTTTTTCCCTGTATATGAAAGGCTCATACTGAAAACAAACAAACAAACAAACAAAAATCAATTTTATTAGTAAAAAGACTATTGACTGTATAGGCAAAGAAAACTATTTATGAATAAAATCATATATGCATACAGGTACGTGCTTTACATGTTGGTATTTAAAATGTTAAAAGTCACGTTTCTAGTTTGGTTATTTTGTAAACGCTGTAAAACTTTGATATCGAAATGAATATTATAACTCGATATTATCATTTATGATTACGTGTGTTTATTCATCACAAAATTTACTTTGTTATAAAACAGTTTATGAATACTTGAATAAAAAGTATTAAAGTCGGTAAATGTCTGCTCTACACGGACTTGGTAACACTTTTAGAATTTTGGAATTTGAGAACTTCCAAAATAAATAAATAAGATAGCAATTGATAAATGAGCCGCGTCACGACAAAACCATCGTTATGCGTTTGCGACAAGCATGGATCCAGACCAGCATGCGCATCCGCGCAGTCTGATCAGGATCCATGCTGTTCGCTCACCAACCCTATTACAAGTAGAGAAACTGATAGCGAACAGCATGGATCCTGGATGCGCAGGCTGGTCTGAATCCATGCTGGTCGCAAACGCACTATGCCTGTTTTGTCGTGACGCGGCTCAAATTGCCTTTTTTTGACACAATTTAAAAAAAAACCATGTCACCAGTATGTGTCAGGCATACATGTCAGGCATACATGTACATCCTTTCATGGTCTTATACAATATTATGAGCATAAAGGGACTCTACTGAATTTCTTTGAGACAACATGACTTTTTTTCGAGATTTGTGTACCATTTTATTTATGTCCAGACCAAAACTCATGTGCAAATTTTCTAATCATCGCTCACTCCGGTTTTCCTGAATAATCATTTTCATTGTCTAAAATATTCCAAAATCATAAAGTGTCTAAACGCTTTTAACTCAAATAAAGGCCAAGTTTTGCACACATAAAATGCATTTCTTTCTGTTTTAATTGTCCTAACTGATTGACTTCTGTGAAAATTCCAAATTGTATGTTTTTAGGCTTTGGAACCTCAGTAAATTTTCCTTTGATTTCATTTTTTTTATATTGAGTTTTTGATTAAGGGTTAATTCGTTCTGCACATTTAGCAGTGCAAAAGCTGAGATTTTTAAGTTAAAATGAAATTAATATTATAAAAATAAAAGTTGTATTATCTAAAATTTAATAATAATAATAATAATAATAATAATAATAATAATAATAATAATAATAATAATAATAATAATAAAATCTTTATGTATAGAAGGTAACATACAAAGTTCACATGCAGTGATAAGTATACTTATTTTCATTATGGCATTCTGATTTAACAATAACAAAGAAAAAAATGTAGATCTATACAAATATTTAAAATATTTTGGTATATATAAGAAAAAATATATTTGAGCCGCGTCACGACAAAACCAACATAATGGGTTTGCGACCAGCATGGATCCAGACCAACCTGCGCATCCGCGCAGTCTGATCAGGATCCATGCAGTTCGCTTACAGACCCTATAACAAGTAGAGAAACTGTTAGCGAACAGCATGGATTCTGATCAGACTGCGCGGATGCGCAGGCTGGTCTGGATCCATGCTGGTCTCAAACGCAAAACGTTGGTTTTGTCGTGACACGGCTCATATATTTATGATTAAAGAGCACTCACATCCGGTATGACAACAACTTTGTATGTCTTCTTTTGTTTTTCTCTGATAAGTGATTTAAGATTATCATTCAGATTCAGACCACTTTCTTCCGTCCAATGACCGAGCTGTTAAAACAATAACAATTATAAAATAATTGTAAAATACGCACATGATAATATATGACCATCTGATTGGCGACTTATTTTTCTGATTGGATTATTTCATTTCAAATAAATTCAGCTAAGTTGTATCATTCAGAAAATTTATGAAGACTGGATGATTTTTGTTTCACTCCTTGTCATGTCAACGCTCATTAAACATCGTTAGACACGGAAACTGACGAACTTTATGGAGATTTCCCGAGTTTAGGATTATAATATTACGAGGTGAAATAACGCAAGGCTGGTCATACGTGGAGTTTTTCACTCTATGGGCATTCAATAAACTTTTGTTTTTGTTGTTTTCTACCTGGCTGCTTACCAATTTGAAAATATTATATAATTTATCAAAATATATCGCGCAATTTTCTGTTTTCGAACTTATCGCTTTTTTTGCCCCGCCTCATTAAAATCTTCATTAGAAAAGTATCAGTCACCATGATATATGTTAAGTCTCTGGTTAACTTACATGATTTAGCATAGTTTGGCGTCCTCCTTTAAACACAACCTTCCGGATCTCCAGTTTAATCCTTTGTCGGATAAAGCCGTTTGTTGAAATAATAGGACCAAACACCCCATCGTAATTTATCTAGAAATAAAACAGAACAACCGACTGTGCATACACATATATATTTGCTAATATTTATGAAAAAAAAAAAGATTTCTCTAAAGTTGAGACATAGCAAATTATTTAAATCTTCATTAAAAAATAAGTCAAATGTCAATAATTCAATGATTGAAAAATAACGTTAACATCTCTGTCGTAAATGTGTAGGCTTAAAAATGATAAATATCTAGTTTGGGAGATAATCAGCTTTTGGTTTATTACCGAGTTTTATCAAAATATAGATTTTGAATTCTTAAAATATTTCAAATAGAGTGTAACAAATATTAAACTCCATTCTCCTTGATGTATAAAGTAGGATATGTTTTTTTTTTGTTTTGCCAAAAAGTAAATTCACCTTGGTAACCTAAACGTTACGAGCCACGAGCCGCGTCACGACAAAACCAACGTTATGCGTTTGCGACCAGCATGGATCTAGACAAGCCTGCGTACCCGCGCAGTCTGATCAGGATCCATGCTGTTCGCTATCAGTTTCTCTACTTGTTATAGAGTTTGTAAGCGAACAGCATGGATCCTGATCAGACTGCGCGGATGTGCAGGCTGGTCTGGATCCATGCTGGTCGCAAACGCATTACGTTGGTTCTGTCATTGTGCGTACATTTTATTGCTCCATTTCAGACTGAACTAGTCTATCATGTATCTATAATGCCATTATCTTAAATTCCATCAATAATTATGGTGAATTATGTTGATAGTATTTAGTATGATACATGACCATTGTTACCACGAAAAAATATATGGATGCTGTTGGTAAGTATAAGATACAAGATCCGATATAATATATTTATATATAGCAGATAATAAAATATTCTAGAACAAAACATCATTATCATTTATTATTCATCATATAAATGTTTATGCTGAATCGCTTGGTTCAAACATATTTATTTAAGCTCTATTCCTAAAAAACTTCTTGCAAGTCATATTAATCACTTTCGGGTCCGCTTCCTGGAACCAACCAGTGATCCCTGGGTTGAGAGGCAGACACCTTAACCATTAAGCCCACCATTCACTTGATCCAAATCGTCCAGAACTATATCAACATTTTGTTCAAGAAATGTTTTATAAGAATATCCAAATGATAGATTTCTATTATTTTTATCAATCACTAAAATGATGATACATTTGAGATTTTTTGGGTCAAATACTGATTACTTACATCAGATAAATTTGTCATTATTCTTTCATTAAACTCGGAGTAGTCAGTAGTGTTTTCATTGCTGAAACAGACGTCACGCTCCACTTCTCGATCTACAAGTGACAAATTCGCCTTGAATATGCTTAAGAGGTCATAGGCGAAAGCTTCGTCTATCTGTGAAATAAATAGAAGAAAAATATCATCATCAATTGTTTTCTACTATTTTAAGCATGACATTTGGTGCTTTCGTAATAGAGGAGCCGCGCCATGAAAAAACCAACGTAATGCGTTTACGACCAGCATGGAGCCAGACCAGCCTGCGCATCCACATCAGCACCCCCTTGCCCCGCAAGACGCCTCATATAGATCTCATTTCGGCTACATTCTGCTGTATACCACACATCAGCACTCCCTTGCCCCGCAAGACGCCTCATATAGATCTCATTTCGGCGACATTCTGCTGTATACCACATCAGCACTCTGTGCGCACAGGGGTATGCTTCAGACGGTTTATACAAGGTCGTGTAGGTTTATTTTGTCGATTTGTTTTTCTTTCTACTGCGTTTTTTTATACATCTTTTAAATTTTTCTGAATAGCTTGTCGTTCATGTTATTTTTTGTTGTACAATTTGCGCCGTATATATAAATCTAAAGAAAATTATTAAATGCCAAATAGCAAAAGATCTACAAATTTTATGAATTTGGAAAATCAAGTTTTTCAATGTAAATACCATAGAAACAAAACGACCTCTTATTCTCGTTAAAATCATTTGATTGGAATTAATTTCGCCCACCGCCTTTTCTTTTTGAAAACAATTCATTATTTATTCAACGTTCGTGGAAAGCTGCAATTACTGTTTCTTAATCACTTTCGTGTGAACACCCCTGTAAAAAATTATAATGCCCGTTTTTGATTTTCATTTGAATTCAGATTAATCAAGAGCTAAGGAGGATGTGGGATCGTGAATTGTAGCTCCCTTCAAAGAACTGTCGTCCATGAACAAATTCAAACAAAAAAGAGTCGAAAACAGTTAACAATCTGCCATGGCTTGTCTAAACTTTAAGTGATAAGTACAGTAATTTAAAGAATAAGAATATGTGCACGTATAGGTTTTGTTCTTTTGTACAACTTGTCTTACCCTTGTTTTAGAATCTCTGAAACGAGATTTCTCCAAATATTTTTCATAGGTTCGTTTCGGGTCTATAGAATAGTACCCGCCAACAAGAACCAACCTCATTTCGTTGCTACACTCTATACATCTGACTGACTCTATTGGATCCTGAAAAGGGTAGTGAATAGTAAAAATTAGATTTTTATCTAAAAAAAAGGGGAGTAAATAGTAAAAGCTGAAAAAGGAGTGAATAGTAAAATTCATATTTCTTATTTCTTATATATTTTTAGATCTTTTTTTTTTTTTAATTTGATATCTACTAAAATATTTACCATCGGAACAGTTATACAAATATCTAATATGCAATCTCAAAACAACGCATCTATTTATTAAGACCTAGTAAAATGTTACAAATATATCTTAAATGGAGGTTTAACTTCCTAACACCTTGTGTCAGTTATGACAGATATAAGTGTATCATTTAATTTCTTAACAATATATTATCAAACAAAATACCGAAACATCTAGAAATAAAATTATCAAAAACTCATATCGTGTCTTTTATATTATCATAAAACAAGTTTATATTGGTTCCAATCTGATTAAAATCAGGTACTAAATAACGCTGCGCATTAGGATCTGACCACCACCAAAAGGTTGTCACCTTCTCGTGATCTTACAATCAACCAATCATCGGCGAGCATTCATAATTTTAAAAGCAATGCGGTTTCTAAATTCCTGGAAAACCAATACCAAGTAGACAACTTCCACGATTTCTTAGCAATCTTAACAATTAAACTAACAATCTACATGCAATATCAATGCATTTTGTTTTCTTCCATGACATTGATGACATCTGTACAATAAAACAACAAATTTAATAGATCAGAATAGATAATACACATAGTCTAGTCTATTTTTTATTATTATATATAATCTTATTATTGCTTTTATCTGTTTGATAACAGAGCCGATCACATAATGAATAATCTGATTAATATCATGTCATTTTACTGTAATTAAATTAATGCTAGTTAATGGAGAGCTGTCTCAAAGCAATGATTATCCTAATTGGTAAAAATCAGGAAGTGGAGCACCTTGACAAATAACATAGCAATTCATTTATATCAATAATATCAAACAATGCGTTTATTACATCTAGACAGTCAAGTAAACCCTGATACAGTTTCATTATATAAGTACGTCTATACTTAAAGTATATCTTGTAATTATTTGGCTTGTCATTTGGAGTCCACTTCTTATCAATTAATAACTTTTAATACATATGTTTAAAGTACAATAATCATTGTTCACGAGAATATTAAATTGCAGTTAATCATAAAGTCTGTGGATTGGAATACGAGTACTATATGACTTTTTAATTTTCCTACGGTTATGTCATTATTCCAACGAAATTTAGAACGAAAGATAGATAAGCTCATCTGGTCATGATAATTGTTCACATAGCATGTTCTATCCAAACTTTGTTGTATCCGACCATTGCCATGTCCGAAATTGATGCAACTAAAGTACATTTTAATCAGAAACTGTTACGGCTACAAATTTTTACTACAGAAAGAACCACGATATTCTTTCATAAATTTGTAACATCAAAGATTTCAGTGCAATTAACAATGATAATGATATTAAACGGGAATATATAAAATAAACTAAAATTTAAAAGAAATGTTAAGAAATACATGAAAATATACCTTCGTGACGACAAACCAATTGATCTCCCTGTAGCGCGGCAGACTCTGACTTCCCTGTCGTGTAAAAAAATACTGTTAGTTGTGTAGTAACTTTTGCAAGAAAAATGTATTTAAAAATACTGTTTTATTTTTATATTATTGACTGCAATAATATAATCATTTTTGCTATCAAGAACGCCTTTTGAATTTTTAAATATATACTAAGTAGAACATATTGATATTTGCTACACAGTCTCTTTATGAATTCAAATAGACATGTTTTGACTGCATACAGAGTTGATATGTTATGTTTTAAATTCTACTCACTAAAGGTGACCACAATATGTATGGGTTTAAGACGACCGTAGGGAGTCTTATCGAACTCTTACCCATATAACTGCAAATCGGCTCTTACAACTCGATATCAGATAAAAATATAGAAAGTGTCACCTCTTTAATTAAGCATAACATTATTTTTCCCCAGCAGTCACGTACAAACAAGGATGGGCTCCAATTACTTAATCTGGCATGTAAAACAATGAGTTTTCAACAATACTTAGGATTGTTAATGCAATTCATTCCTGTCATATGAAACCAAATAATGTTTTGCTTACTTTTTCTAGAAAATATAAACAGTCAGCAATTAATAATTGACATTTTTCTTAGAGTTAAAAGGATATCAAAAAGTTACTGTGTACTCATTTGTCTCTGCGAGTTGAGCTCCACGTGTATTATCTATGTAATAAATTTGAATGTATCCTCACATTGCTACAGTGTTATCAGCCTTTTTAGAAACACCTGACCTGGCTAATTAAAATATGCCAATCACAATTTTCACTATCAGCACTGGTTTCTTCATGAAAAAGCGGCTACACTAATTACTGCCGAGTAAGAGCCGATTTGCAGTTATGAATATATAGTGTCATTAAAAAACTGGCATTTTTTTAATGCAATGACCAACTTTACTTGACCTGTAATGGGAAACGTAACCTAAGATACATAGATTATTCAGTCTTTTATTCAAATTAGACAAATTCAGTAAAAAATTCCATATATTTTGATACATTTCTGTGATTAAAATATTTTGCTCAATGGTAAGCATAGTATATATTTAAAAAAAGCATTTATTTGTCGGCAACATCATTTTAAATGACACTTTTCACACAAAATAAAATATTCCTTATCTGATTCATGTAAGTTTCTAACGTCATGATTATTTTGATTGTCTTAAAATAAATAATAACAGAACAAGAAGAATACACTTGGTAAACACATTAGACAATATTGCTTAAACACACAACCATCGCTAAACGTTTATGTTTTTATGAAGTAAACATTAACTGTAATGTTTAATAAAGTGTGCTCTAAATTAGCCATTATATTTAATGCAATAATCTGCAATTTCAAATTACCTTTCCTAATACATCTGCTGCGTTTTTCAAAGACGAAACTATAAAGACATTTTCAATTTCTAATTGTTTGATAGATTCCATCATATCAGCGATACCAGCGTCTTCTATCTCAAGATAAATATGATGTGACAACACTCCGCTCACTATCCGTCTCGGAATGTTCTGTAAATCTATAAAAACAACAAAACAAGTAAATATATCATTACATTTACTACAATATACATTTAACATATGGATAACAAAAACACTGTGGAATACTACAAAATCAATTGAGCCGTGTCACGACAAAACCAACATAATAGGTTTGCGACCAGCATGGATCCAGACCAGCCTGCGCATCCGCGCAGTCTGATCAGGATCTTACAAACTCTATAACAAGTAGAGAAACTGATAGCGAACAGCATGGATCCTGATCAGACTGCGCGGATGCGAAAGGCTGGTCTGGATCCATGCTGGTCGCAAACCCATTATGTTGGTTTTGTAGTGACACGGCTCAATTAATTATGAGTGTTCAGACATACAATAAATTTTGACAAAGCTGTTTGCTGTTGTCTCAGAAAGGAATTTTAGGCAAGGACTTTATAAGAAAAATCAAAAGATCTGATCGTAAACTTCACTTTTTAAGACATAACCAATTCGTTTGAACTTTCCCTCTTTCTTGTAGTTTGACAATCAAATGGGTAGTGTATCGAAATGTGATTTTTCAATTTAGATAAATAACATGATTTTAAACAAAAGTAGTACATTTAAATTTGGAAATTTCAGAAACATGCAATGTAATCTGTAATATGTTTTTGCAAATTGCATAGATGTTTCTCTCTCTCTTAAATGTCTTTGCCAAACAACCCGTGGAAATGTAAATTGTCTCTGCAAAGCTGCCATGCTTTCCAGCTATGCTTTTCAGTTTAGGTTAATTGAATTTATTTAAATATGACGAGAAATGATTGAAAAGAGTACTTGTTGAATTAAACGGTATAGAGAAATCATGTGTTTAAAGCTATGATTTTTGTTTTTGAATTACGTAAATTTCCAGGTAGGAATCTGCTATGCTTTAACTATATCATGACGATGATGCTCCAATCTAAGGTTACTTTGAAAATCATGATAATGTAAAGTAATTATAAATTTAATTAATTTAGGATCTGGAACATGAGCGTTCGATAAATCAAAACCACAGAGGAATTTGAACGATATAAATCAGTGTGGAAGAGACGTCACTTCTTTTGTCATTTTCACAGTTACTGTACATGATAGCTGGTTGGCCATTTAACTTAAAGTTAAATTTGTTTGATTATTCTTCAGTTTCAATTCCTCTTCAGTTTTTTAAAATCACCTTTTTATTTGTATCTATATAATTATTTTGTGAAATCGCACTACTGAATTATTTCATTTTTTTTGTATCATTACAATTGATAAGCAATATAAAAACTGTCACCACAAAGTCTTAGTTTACAGCAGTGGCGATGTTTAACTAAATCATCAATCGCATTTGTATTCGAAATAAATAATTTATCAACTGTTGTTTATTCAAATGGAAATAGAATTCGACACTTTAAGCGACCTGTAATCACATGTACGTTGCAAGCGTCAAATTCGTGCTGCAGAATAGGTAGGTGCTCTGTACAAAATTAATATTAATTAATATATTTATCTTAACACTTTAATATACAGTATATTGTCGTGGCGGCGGGACTATAGATCATTAATATTGAATTGAAGTCACACTTATACAAATGCTGACAGTCATGCACACATGTTAATAGGATTCAATCGATTAATACAAAATAAACATTTTAATATTTCATCAATCATGCAACAAGTTATATCATGAAACGGAACATGTTCACATTAAATATTCAATAGAAATACGTACAGTTCAATCGATGATTACAATGCTAGATATTCTACATTTCAATTATAGAACTGCGAGTTTGTAATATCAATTTACGACTGATTTTAGATTTGAACAGAGGTTCCGGATGGTATGAACAAATTATGATATACACAATGTTTTACTTCAAAAAGATGAATGAAGTCGGTCTTGCGGCAAGACAAAAACATCTGTAAAAGGTGTTACATTTCAATGTGGTAGTGTTCTGTGTTTTTGCCGACAAAAGCGGTGTCAGAAAATATTAGAATATGGATTTAGAACTTGCTCGTACTGTCAGAGTCACTGAATCGCCAGTTTAAGCAAATTTTAAATAGCATTTACCACACAATAAAAAGCTCAATGTGGTCTTTGAAATATTAACTGAATCTATGTAGATATTTTGTACTTACTAAAGCTGTCGTCATACAGGATGGCTATATTTGTGAGATTGTCAAAACCTATTATATCTGCAATGACATTTAACATCACAGATCCTGGAGGCTGTATTTTTATGTAAAATTCATCTTCTACATCGGAAGGGAGCACGAGGCTCTCGTCCATAATTGTCATGAAGACAAGACCACGAGCACGTGCGAACGATCGTAGAAGAGGCCCTACTGACGGAGAAGATATATCTAACAATATAGAAACTCCGTGTTGTATTTCATAGCAAACTGAAATAAAAATATAAATCAGTTAAAGAGATGTGGTTCTGTCAACATGGCAACATGAGCATTTACAGTAACATAGGTTGACAAAGTTAATATACACAAACTATGTACGGGTGACAAATCTAATCATCTAAAAGATGTGTTTTTTAAATAGTTCCAATTCGGTATTGCACAAATTTAAGATTTGCACACAAGATAAAAGAAACTTTCGGGTTTTAAAACATTAGCTAAAAAGATATTTTCCAAAATAAACAATTATTACAAAATTATCAGTTAACGCATAACAGCTTGAAAAATAAAATACACTAAAGTTTTAATCCAATTTAAGGAGATCATGCAATAAGATGACGTTAAAAGAAGAAACAAAAAAGACCAAAAAATCACAAGTCCATTGAAGAAATTCAGCAGGTCAGTTGTTAAGAATAAGAAAAGAATAATAAAATTTTGAAAGGATGTGATCAACTAACATAGAGTATACTAATAATATCGAAGTAATCTTTGACTTTATTCTTATAAACTTTACCTACAAGACATTCTATGTCTTCCTGAAAAAAGGTGTATACATTAAAGTGGACCTTATATAATTTATGTAATATATACCTTTGTCAAAAGTTTCGAGAGTATTATTTTCTGATGACATCACAAGGCTCATATTCGGGGTTGTCTCCTGGGACAACATCATTTCCATGTTGACGTTTATGTCTGCCACCCTTTGGTCTAACACCGTTACTGTAAGATTGAAAAAAAAGAAATTACATCAACATAATAGCAAAATAATATGAGATAAAATAAGGCAATGTTGAGATTAATAATTTATTCTTTTGGAATAGTCAGGGTCTTTCAAATAGAAAATTTGAAAGTCCTGAACTAGTATAGAGCTGTTAAACGTATATTAGACGAGGCAAGGTTTTGCATTTGTGTACGAGTTCCAAACAGCAGTATTATTCTCAACAATACATTATAACCTCTTCATTTTTACAAGGCCAGTTTTTGACATTTTGAAAGAATTTTTTTACTTCAAATACAATACGAATATTTGAATTTTGAAAATGAAGAACAAGGCTTTAACGAGGTTTACTATGCATTTGATATGGATTTTTTTTGGATTTATTTTTTGATTCTGGGAAAGAATCGATGCTGTATCCTACAAAAATTTCAACTTGAGTATCACGTGCGTGGTTCAAACGCTGAAAGATGAGTATTTTATAAGGTGTGAAATAATCTAATGTTCAATAACATGTGGTCTATAATGGACATTGTTAATCATTGTTTAATAACAATAAATATATCTGGATTCCGTCTTGAATGTTTTTAAAATGGAAAAAAGCAAGTCTCTGACGAGTTTCATATGGTCTTTATTCAACAAGTTATATAAAGCTACTATGGAACACACAACACGAATTAAATAATTTATTTTTTATAGAAGAAAAGAAGCACGTCACTTTAGCACTATAAATACACCCATAAATGGTACATGTGTAAATATGCTTGTTTGATCATGACATTGAAAATATTAGGATGTAGCTATTATAAATAAGGAATGTTTAAACAAAACTAACGTTTTAAACAGTTTCTTTTGTTAACTTCCAGAAAATGTTAAATCAGACCAACATTATATCAGTGAAAATATTACAGTGAATGATTGAAATAAAATGTGTAAAATGATTAGTTAATTTGCATATATTGTACATTACATGTAATCAAATGGCTGCAAGCACTGTGGTATTTTCTGATCTTTGCAATCTAAATCGTATAGTATCTGTATGTATTTTCCTGTATAACTTTATTGTACTATAATTCATCTTGCAGGGCACCGAGTTGCATAGAGTGCGTTTACATTTTTTGCTATGACAGTTTGAGTTTGATACATACAGAATTTTGCATGACCAGAGTTTCTAAATCACATGACCACGGGAAAGTTATAAGAAACAGTCTGAAGCAAACCATATTATTCTAAATTAGGGTTTGTAATCCTTATTAATTTCGAGATATTCTGTTCACTGTAAACCTGTTGTTTAACACTGATGTAAATAATTTAGCACAAACAGCCCGACATGTATATAATATTTCACTACTCTTTGTGTAATATGTTATGAAGTGTGGCTAAAAATAGCGCTGTGTTTACGTGGATTAAATTATTAGGTGCTTATCTTATAAGACCGTTACTTATGGTAGAAATTGATAAAATGACATTCATCCGCGTAATTTGCTAGTGTGCATTTATTGACAATTCTATAAGCAAACTTTGAATTCGTTATAATTCGCTGGATACTTGTGACAAAATAAAAATATTTCTTTCTTTTACATCGCTAGTTTAAGCTGTTTTGAGATCTACTTTTTGTTTTTAGGATTGTTTGGAAGCGCTATTCCTGAGGTTGAATGGCAGCATTGAATTTCCTGATCTGCGATCAGAAAATACAATAAGGGTAAGGCCGCATAAAATGAGATATTGTAGATGGCTAATATTTGGAATAATTCAATAGGGAACTTGGCAGCAAACCTGTTACATCTGCAAAGCATTCACTATTACTTGTTTTTGGCTTAAAATTATTTTCTCCACAATAAGCATATTAATTATTAGACAAAGTGTCTCGACGACATGAAAAAAGTCATAAGACAAAGACAATGAATTCATGCAGACACATGTATTTTACAGACATCAAATTCATTACAATAATCATTTTCATCTCCATTTTGATGGGTTTTTACTGAAATGGTTCAAATATGAATGTCAATATTGATACAAAAGACTTACAAAGATTTATGTTTACTTTAGTTGTGTTTGTTTTGTTTGATGATATTTTCCTAAACTTAAGTAAATTACATTATATATTCATTTTATTTATACATCCGAGTTAGTCATTGACAAACAATTAACCTAATTTTTTAAAGCAATGTTTATAATGTTATTTGGCCTATTAATGCCTGATATTTGTGACCTGCATAGTAATATGCTAGTTTTGATATTTGTTTTTTTTTTGTTCTGATACGGTTTGATTGATAAGAATTAAATCATAGAGACACATTCATACCAATACATACAATTGCATTTTTATCTTAAGTTTGAGTTTGAATAAATGTTGCGAGAAAAACAACAACAACAACAACAAAAAAACAACAACAAAAAACAACAGTTTCAGTTCATTGGCAAATCGGCATATACAATATATACTGATTTTGGCCATTTACAATAAACAAAAAGATGGCCAAGATAATACAATTTACATTTAACATAAATACAATAATACAATACAGTTATAATACAAGAACCTAAGGAGCAGCAATAATTGCAAGTCTTTCATTTCTCAATCGCATAGCATAGAATACAAATGTGGCAATATTCCTAATAGTTATATTATTATTTGAAGACAATAATCTAGTAAATTTATTAACGCATGGAAAAGAACAATTAACATTATATTTTCGACGAAGGTTTCTATAGAGTGGACAGCATAACAAAAAAAATGATATTCAGATTAAAGAATTTGATGCTCATTAGTAACAATATCTAGATACTTTTCATATTTAAACTCACATTTGAATTTTCTATAATAATATAACTTAGATTGATTCATTATTGTATCATTCCATGTTTGAACGTACTAAACACGCAGTCTTTGTTTTAACATTGGCATATAATTCATATCAAGGTTTAGAGAATTCCTTAAGTAGCTATATCCAAGACTATCAAGTTGCTTTTTAACAGACGATGACCAAGTAGACATGGTATTATAAGGTAACAAAGCACATTGTTCCAAAAATATTGTATGGACTAATGATCCTGGATATTTCATTATATTTAACCAATATTTAAGAGCACGTTCTTTACATATAACAGATAAAGGAAAGCGACCAAGCTCTCCAAGCACAGCAGCATTGGAAGTCTGAGGTCGAACACCAAGGACTATTTTACAAAAACGGAGATGCAATTTGTCGATTTCTTTGCAGTTATATATTCCCCAGACTTCAGATCCATACAATAGTATTGGAACAACGAGAGAGTCGAATAGGGACAATTTAGTTTTAATGTCCAGTTTTAATCTACTAAACACGGACAACAAATTGTTATATGCCTTCAGAGCTTGGTCGCTAAAAGTTTTTACAGCATTAACCATAAAACTAGTATAAAAGAATTGTATACCAAGATAACAAAATGAATCAACTATTTCAATATTATGACTAGATTTTCTCTTTTCAAAAATACATATTTTGGTTTATTTACATTAATTTCAAACACCATTTTCGTGAATACTTATATGGAGTTGTAGACTTTCAGGATTGGTAGTAAAATTTAATAGTGCAATGTTGTCAGCAAACAATAACATGTATATAGACAATGAATTTATATCATCATTAGAAAGTTGTGAGAAGATAAATTATTAACAAAAAAAATAAAAAGAAAGGGCGAGAGTGGTTCCCCTTGTTTCAGTCCGAGTGAGATATCAAAGAAATGAGCATTCGAGCTATTATCAAAGTTTTTTATACACGACTTAACATTTTCATAAATCGCTTTTATCATTTTAACAATATTGCAGCTAATTTCAGACGGCACTAATTTTATCCATAAAGCCTCTTGTATTACAGTGTCGAAAGCTTTCTCGTTGTCAATAAAGGCACAATAGAGTTTGCACTTGTTTAACAAAACCTTTTGGATTATCAGATGCAAAAGAAAAATACAATCAGCAGTACCACGCTTAACTCTGAACCCAAATTGGCTGTCATTCAATACATTTTCATTTTCTTAAAATTTATTAATACGATTACGTAATACAAGCGAAAATATTTTAGCAACAACATTTACAAGAGTTATCCCTCTATAATTAGCAGGATCAGTATAATCACCCTTTTTATGACAACAATAACAATAACAAAAAGTAAAAAAGTGTACTCAGACATTGAGGGTGTATGCGTATTTGGTCCGTAATAGGTCTTCAGTTATTGACTTAATACTGGTATATATCATTCTATAATGGTAACAAGCATTAGGTGTAGGAAATTACGTAATAATTGTAATATGATGCTGTCACTATCATCACTTTATCTATTTAAACTCAATGTCAGTATCTACAAACACAAGAAGCACGTAACATTTCTTTTAAAGATCATCACGGAGATTTTTGCTTTGTTGAAAATGCAAGTGTTTCCGCTTGTAAAACAAGTCAAGGTGTCTTTGTCTTTTCAAAAAAAGTTAAATTATGACAGTTTAGACTGAATTGTTCTTTTATCTGTTTTCTTGAATATACGGCCGTTTCTAATGGAATTAGCATTTTACATCTAATGACCGATGATGATCCAAAGTTGTGTTCTAAAATGCTGAAAATCAAGATCAACATATGAAGGAATGGTTCACTTCCTTCCATGTTAAAGCAATCACTTGCATCATATCACTACAGTTGACCTACAGGGCATCAACATGATATGCACTTTATATCAACATATACGATGCAACACAAACACACAGCCCGTGGCCAAATTGATCTTATATTATTAATTAAGGTAAGAAGATAGAAACTAAATCAAACTAAAATATTGACGTAGTGTTTATTATAAGTAGAAGATGTGGTAACGCAGATATTTAAATAAACAAAAAATGAATAACAATAAAAAGTAAACATCTATGTAAAATAAAGGGACACCAAATTTAAGATGTTCTACGAACACCCACATGCGAAATCAATCGGAACTTGTCATCTGAAGATCTGTTGAAACACGAACTACCTACATTTTAT